TGCAACCTTGCGTGCTGTTGAGTTGAGAGTTGACAAATTTACTTCGATTAAGTACGGATTGTGTAGTGAATGTACATAGGTCGTCTTTCTTGGGCAGTGGGCACGGCAGCGTGTATTTCCGGGCGGCGGTCATTTCCGCGAGGAACTGAAAAAGGGGCTGGAAATCGGCGATCATTTCCGCAAATTATTTCATGACAATTTTTGTTACCATTTGGAGGAGTTGGCAACGTCGGCAAACCTGAAACTATCCCCTNCTTCGAAAGTATTTTACGAGCTGATATTAGTGTGTGTGTGTATGCTTGACGCCCTGTTAGTTATCGTGTATAGAATTCTGTTTGGCATCGTTAACGGCGTTAATCGTGCACAAAAATTTGCGAATTTCAGAATTTTTGCCATCTACGACGTGTGAACTATTCAATCAAAACAAAAAAAGTCGTTTTTGGAAAAACCTCAAGGTTACGGCAATCATTTAGAGCTTATTACATCGTTGCCATGTCTCTCCTGACTGTTGCTGACTGTTGCTCGGGACAATGATTCTAGGGCGTGAAAAAGTTATTGATGGAGCAAAAAAAAAATTGACATATTTTTTTTCTCAAATTCAAAAGCATTACCTATCACCTCCGATAAAGTTTTCTCAAATAATCACTCTGGTTATGCTGCAACATCGATTTAAAGTCAAGAACCAGGCACGGGGGACACGCAAATTTGGGACAAATATAGGCAATTTGCACATTCAAAGTTCTCCTAAATTTTTATTTCAGTCCAAATAAAGTGGGAAATAGCATGTAATAGTCAGCAATAGTGTGGAAAATGAGAAAAAAATTTGATTTGCCCATGTTTCTCAGATTATGACGATTAAAACAGCTCGGGACACAAGATTAGACGCTTATTTGAACTCACCCACCTATCACGCGAACGATATGACCTAAGAACATTAAAAAAGCTCATCCAGCTAACTGCTCTGCCGTGCTAAAGGAGAAACGTCGTACGTACATTCAAACTTTGATGAAATACGAATTTATTGGATACGTTGTGAATATTTTTCTCCCAATTTGTCAGGATTTTAATGTTGCACGATAATCTATGACTAGACGCAGCCCGCATTTTAGGAGGAAAAAAGTAGAACACAACATTCTTTTCTTAATTTATAAGAATAGGAACGGCACTTCACTAGCAACATAGAGCGGAGCATTGTGAGTTCACGCTTCGCGCCTTCAATTTTGCGCACGCAACACGGACATCCGTCAAGTACGAATAGTTGTATCTCTGCGCCGGCATCCTTTCACTTGTTCTATTTCCATATTTTATTTATTTCTGTTTGTTTAATTTGTTTAAAGCTTCAAGGACTACGTGAGCAACACAGCCAAAGGCAGTAGATACTTAATTCGGTCGAGTCACGGTAATTTTCTTACAAATAGGGACGACACTTCACAAGCAACATAGCGCGGAGCATTGCGAGTCCACACAGCGCGCCATCGCGCCTTCAATTTTGCGCACGCAACACGGACATCCGTCAAGTACGAATAGTTGTATCTCTGCGCCGGCATCAACGCGCCTCCTTTCACTTGTTCTATTTCCATATTTTGTTTATTTCCGTTTGTTTAATTTGTAGTAAAGCTTCAAGGACTACGTGAGCAACACAGCCAAAGGCAGTAGAGACTTAATTCGGTCGCATCACGGTAATTTTCTTACAAATAGGGACGACACTTCATAAGCAACATAGCGCGGAGCATTGCGAGTCCATACAACGCGCCATCCCGCCTTCAATTTTGCACATGCAACACGGACATCCATCAGGTACGAATAGTTGTATCCCTGCGCCGTGATCAACGCGCTTCCTGCCCCTTGCTCTTTTCCCATATTGTGTTACCATTTAGTTGGGTGCATTTCGTTTATTTACTAACTAGACATTTTTTGTGTTACCATTTAGTTTGATGCATTTCGTTTATTTACTAAGCTGACACTTTTTTAAAGGACGTTTCGATAAATTTTGATACATTTTAAGGTGTACCTCAAGATATTTGATTTAAATGACGCGCTCTTTTCGGATTATAATACATCTGTACTCTAACCACTTGGGAACCTGCAAAAGCAAGCTGATTACTATAGCACTTACTTTCTACCTACTCAAAAAATCCAGAGCTCCCTACTGTTTTATTTTTAAAATTGATCAAATTTTCTAAGAATATCCTAAGTACGTATTTAATATTCAGATGCTAATAATTTGTGGCATTTTCGATTTCAAACTTTTTAGGTAACACCGGACACCTCCAAAAAGTTATGTCATACCGACTTTCACTTTTTTGTCATACCTATTGCAAGGCGAGTAGGTACTCACAGCAATCTTTTAAATAACAGTTTTTGTCTAGGAAAAAAATTTCCTCCCTAACTAAATGCATGCACTCATTTTCCCCCATTAGGTACCTATGTGAAATAAGGTTCTGGTTGAGATGCTGCTAAGGAAAACATAGAATCTGAACATTTTCCAATTTTATACCCTTGATTCTTGGGGGACTTTTCAGTCAAATGAAGCAGAACCGATTCATACTAAAAGCAGTGAATTTTGTTGTGTTAAAAAAACCTATGGCCTAGGTCCTTGGTTTCCTCCCACCATCATATACTGCTAAAACTTTTTCAATATATTTAAAATTTTTCACTGTGGCGCATTTTTCCCTTGTACTTTGTTTTATTTCCTCTGATTTCTTTGAAAAAATTTATCTTGTCAACAATTCTGCTGTCTGCTCATCCTTTTTCCTCCGAGGCCAAACTTAGTCTTTCGAACACATGATTATACAGATTGTAATGCAGACAAAAAAGGCACAGTTGTAGGACTGAGAGGGAAAGCTTTCTGCGCTGTTAAGGTTGGGAAACTTTATATAAATTTATTAGAGGACCGATGATCTACCTGTTAGGCTACTTTTGACAAGCGCATTTACAATTAGTTGAACACAGAATAAATTCAAAATTGCGGTCATGCCAGCGTCACAGGACAGAAACATATTTTTGGAAGCAACTCCTGCAATGTTGCTAAAATATATGCATCTCTGTTCAACAAGAATCACTAATTCATTGCCTACACCGTGTTAGGACGTGTGTATCATCAAACATTACACAATTTTTCATTACAAATACTACAAAAGTTTTGCATGCAAGTTACTCTTCTACAGAGGTACCTATTATTTCACAATTTTTTCTCTTTTAAAATAAAACTTCAGAGTCCTTTCTCCTTACTTGAGGCAAAAAATACGAACAACACTTTCAAGAAAACTTGTGCAATGTGACGCTTGTAAAAATGGACTGATTTTAAATACTGGATAGTAAAATACCTATTCTTGGATTTCTAAACAGTGTTAGCAATAGTAATTAGTAATTACGAGCTTAGAAATATGTATCAAGTGTTGGTAATTTTCCTGCTATGGTATCAGAGCCATGAGAACCTCTTCGGCCACATAAACCACAGAGAAGAAAGCATTGAGCTTGACGATATACCTTAACTCTCCTATGCATCAGCAAATATTCCTTGTCAGTATTTATTAATGAAATAATTTGTGTTATAAACTTATGCCAATCATTTGCTTTGTACCTGGTAATTACTCATTTGATCCTCTATTTTTAGTAGTTTTACCGAGAGTCACAGCTTTTCTAATTAGGTATCTGAAGCATTTTAATCGGGGAATCAGATAAAAAGAGAATCAACAGAAAATAGTCAATTGAATTGTAAATGGGTCAGTTGCACTGGTCACAGAATTGAGTTTCAATGCTTGTTTCTTGTAGATTAACTAAAAATAATAAGATCTGGCCAAACAGCAACTCTTTTTGTTCAATATTGACTGAGATATCGCGCTCTGAAAAATCGGGTTATTGACATCATCCATAGCGTTAGTGACACCCTTGGTTTCTTCCAACTTGTTTTTATCCGAGTATTATGTTGAGTATTCAGTGCAAATGTGCGTCACACCGACTGATGAAAGGAAGGTGGAAGAAACCAAGTGTGTCACTAACACAGTGGATGATGTCAAAAACCTGACATCTCGGCTAATGTTGAATGTAGAAAGTTGCTGTTTGAACGAATCTTAATATTTTTGGCTAATCTACAAGAGTCAAGCATCAAAATCTGTGACAAGCGCAACTAAGCCTTTTCAAATCAATAGAATCTTGCTGACAGATGTAATTGAATGTCTTAAATGAATCTCAGTAAGTAATTCAAGGATTAAGTTCTTGATACTCAACAGTTGTCACTAATTTTACACGTGGAAGATGGATTAGAAGAAGAAAATACCATTGCTGTTTACAGCAGTCAAAAACAGGGTTTATCAAGCTCTTGAGCCACTCAACTGATAGCTTACCAAAGTAAAGAGCTGGAAACGACTGATATTACACGAACACGATGCAGACGAAACGATGGGACCAATCAATCATCAGAGGCATGAATCTGCCAAGATTTACTGGGATTAGAATATGAATTGCTTGGAGTAAATGAGTGCCTTGCGCATGCTGAGTACATGTTTACATGAGAGAAATCATGTAAAATTCAGAACTTCAGAGAAAATGAACTGCGTAAATGATTGCATTCCGTAACGCAACCATGTGCAATACTTGCGATTATGTAACTTCAAGATTCGCAACTGTCAAGTGCTATGAGGGGAATCTTCTTTACCTACCCCAGATAGACCGACGCAGATCATCATCTGCAATTTGTTAGTCACAGTTCAGGAAACCACCCCAACCCAAAAAACCTGAGTTAAACATAACCTCAAATTTATCAGAGATAAGAAAGGCACTGGTGAAAGGCGAGGAGAAATTGCACTTTCATCGGTAATCCAAAAGAAATTAATTGGGGCATGGGCATTCTGTACATTCCAGAGACCTGGCAGTAGTGATAACCCAGTTAACAAACCCAGCAATTTCATTGAACCCCGCGACCAGTGCAGACTCAGCGCACTTGATAGCTCGGAAAAACTGAGATAAGAGGGAAAACTGCAAATGAAAACGGCACTTACAAAATGCCGGGAGGCGCTCGGCGAGGATGAAAAGTGCAAGTCGGCGGAGAAACCTTTGGACTGGAGACGGTGCACTTAGAACATACGGTCTGTTCTCACAAAATCAAATCACACACTTTCGCAATGCGGTCGGGTTCTGCTATGAATAGCATGGAAACACAAGGAAACTGTTTTGGGTTCGGGCGCGCAAGGAGCAGCACGCGGTTATCAGGCGAGTGATAGCAGGAGACTACTCGAAATAGGCGGTTTCGTCGCGGTCGGACGAGTATGGGAGAAGGAGAAACGAGTATTTCACTACAGTAACAACAAACGTGACTCATGCACTCACACAGACGCGCCCGGTCGCGTAGTCGCCAACTGTTCAACTGCCAAGCTTTCGGGTTCCGCCGAACTGGGCGCAGCGCCGCTATGCGGCGCGGAGCGCGAACTTTCCCAAAGTTCATGCTTCTACCCCCACCCCCTCCATCCCCCCGCTTGGCCCGAGCTTTCCCGCTTTCCGTTTCGCTTTGCAAATATTAGCGAGATGATGGCGGAGGGAGGGGAAACGGGGAGGTTTTCCCGTGACAATGGGGGAAATTTAAAAATTAATCGTCTATTTTTTCAACGCTCCTTGACGTTTTTCTCGGCCTTGTTGTTTCTGTGTGACTTCTGGATTCTGATGCTGCTCGTATTCTTTTGACGCTCAAGAGTTAGTTTGGAGTTTTCCTTTTCTCACGAAAAAAAGAAAGAATAATGATAATAGTGTGTGCCGGTCCTTCGGAAGAGGGACAGGGACACGGGACACTTACTTGTCCACAAAAATTCAAAATTGGGTTATGGTCAGGGATAGGTACCTGAGTACGGATGAGGGTTTTTTTTTTTTTTTTTTATGAACGTCGACGTCTCAGAACAGAAAAACAAATTGCCGGCTTCAAAGGTTTCAGCTCAAAAAACGCAGTTTCGAGATCAAGGCTATTCAAATTTCTTTTCTGTCTTATTAAGATCAATTTGCATGCAGAATTGCGGTGTACTCGTACTTTACGCCTTTTCATTTGCTAAACGATGAAATAAACCGCCTGCGACTTAAATACTCCAGAGGAGAAAAAAACAATTTTCGTAAAATAAAAATTAAAAAAATTCAACCCAACTTGACAAAAATTACTTTATTGAAAATTTGCCATCCATGTAATATGGTTCCTTCCTGCGTGAGGGATGACACCAGAGTTGGACGTCATTTGTCGGTGAGGAACTAAAATGTCTAACCCATCCGTAAAAGCGCCTACCTGCATAGAGACACTAATGACACATACGTTGTCTCTAAAATGAGCCATAATTGTAGTTTCTTACTGCAAAATGTAGTCTAACTATAACTTGGAAAGCAAGTAGGGGCATTCCGCAAGAAAAACGTAGAAGACTCCTGCATTTATTACAATCTAGCGCACTCCTTAGTCTTGGAGAATCCCACTATTCGAACTCCCAGGATGTAAATCATGTAACCTATGAAAATAAAGGCAAAATGCTGTTCACTCGGATCACGTTGCATCAAGGAGGGCGTAGTTCGCCTTCATTTCGTCGAGTAGGCAAAAACAGCTCTCCCTCGTTGGAATAATCGTATCAACCAGTCAACTGAAGGCGTCATAGATTGCAACATGATTATTACCACCAGAGTTTCGCTGGATAAGTCAATAACTTACTCAAGGAAGGTTATGTCATTTTTGTATGAAAATTCTCTGTGGCTTGGACTCTAGGGAGTTGTATTCGTCCTTGACCGTTGAACAAAAGCTCTACACTTACAATCGAGTCAAGTATGAAAATGCAAGTAGGTACGGTCTGATTGCGAAACTACGATAAAAGTTGCTTGTTTCAATTGGACGTATTTCTATCAAACGGAACTATGTGCATTATGACGTGGGCCCTGAGACCCATAAGAGTATGTGCATAACAGGGCTCACGTCATAATGCACATAGTTCCGTTTGATAGAAGTACGTCCAATTACATAGTAGCGAGCGGCTGATTCATCAGTGTGAGCTTTATTTAAACAAAGTTTCGCAATTATGCCACATCCATATTCTATTATGAGACTCGTAAGATTGCTTTCAGCGAGAAAGAAATGAGGTGTTTGCATATCGGGCAGCTTCCGGGAAGAGTTCGATTAAGAAAAAGAGGTACTTTGTTATCAATTTTTTCGAAAACGGTGTGACTGACTAATGAAAAAAAAGTCACGAAGTGTTTAAAGTCACATCACACTGTTGAATGGAGAATTTGCAAGGGTCTGAAAGACGAATTTCGTGTTTTAGTGGAATTTACTAAGTGAACTGAACACGAAAATACCACTGATTCACAAAATTGAGCAATTATTAGATGAGATATGACAAAATAACCGATTCTGCTAAAATACATGTGTTTAAATGGGAAATGCCGCCAGATGACGTCATAAGGCGGCACATTTTCTCACTTTGAAATCAATTTTTCTCCAATTTCTCATGTCCAAAAAAATTATGAAAAATACTGCAAACTCAGCTCATTAGGCACTTTAAGATGAACCAATAAAATTGTTGTGTGCAAATTCTCCATTCCGCCTAAACATTATACAGGGTGATCTAGGGTCAAAAAGTCAGGCTACAGGAGCATGTTCTATGGGTCAGAATAAGACTTTTTTGTTGATTAAAGTTTTTTTTCCAAAAGTGCCCCCGGTCGGAGACACGCCCCACAGTGGAACGAGCCAATAGAAGAGGTTGGACATAAAAATTTTGGCTGAAATTTCATATTTTGATGTTTTTTTTGTTTCAAATTCGATTTCAAGGGATATTTCTGAAAGGAACTTTCATGAAAAAACCAATGGAGCCACGCTTGAACTTTCTCGCTACCTACATATCTTCGATGATATTAGCTTCCAAAGTTGCCAGATTTTGTCCGACTTATCCTATTGATTCTGTCCATCGTGCGCCCCTCCTCCCAAATTTCGGAATGTGAATCGTTTTTCTTGAATTTGGGCGACGGTTGTAAACCATATCTCATGAGCATTTTTACTCTCCTATACTTTTATGCCCTGAATTCACAAATGATCTGAAAAAAAAGCAAAACTCAATTTAAAGAGGGGATTCGGGGGTGTTCCGGCTCCTGCACTCTGACTGTTTAGCCCTGGATCACCCTGTATACGGTCCGTTTTCCAAACTTCGATTTTGAATTTTGAAGGAATGTTGATACCACATTGCATATCCACATACGTCCCAGTGTAAAAAAACCGGAAACTGCCGTCACCTCCTTTTTTTCTTCAAAAAAATGCCTGCGAGATAAAGCTTATCGCAGGCGGAGGTGGACTGGCTTCAACTTTTCCAAAAGGGGAGCCCCGCGAAAAAAAGGAATTGAGAGCCCCTACCGATTAAAGCGGCGCGCACTGGATCGAGTCAATGGGAGAGGGCGGACAAAATTTGGAAACTTTAAAAGCTCAAGACTCCATCCAAACAAAACTTTGAGGTTCTAAAAGTGGTTCCATTGGTTTTCTCGTGAAATTCTCTTCACAAAACACCCCCAGAAATCTAAAATGTGACGAAATAAACATAAAAATTTGCAGTTTTAGTAAAAAATTTCATGTCTGACCTCTCCAATTGACCCAATCCACTGTGCGGCGTAGGGAAGGTTCAAAAGAGGCCCCAGGAGGATCTTCGAGATTCCTTAAAGTGCGACTTGGGGATCCAAAATTCTATCCATAAGGACCCTCTGCAGCTCTGCGGGGCCTTTTTGGCCGAAGTCAAGTGACCTCCTAGCCCCTCGTCTCTAACCAGCCAGCCGCAGTTTTATTTAGAATGGAGAATTTGCACGCACATTTTTTTATTTCTTCGCCTGAAAGTGCTTAGAGAGCTGACTTCACAGTATTTTTTATAATTTTTTTCTGATATGGGAAATAGTATAAAAATAGATTTAAGAGTGAGAAAATTCACCGCATAGTGATGTCATCTGGCGGTATTTCGCTTTTAAACACATGTATTTTAGCAGATTAGATAATTTTGTCATTCTTCTTCAACAGTTGTTCAATTCTTGAGCCAAGGGTATCCTTGTGTTCAGTTCACTCAGTATAGTTTCCACTTAAACACGAAATTCATCAAATTTGACACCTGCAAATTCTATATTGTAGATGCGGCCTTTTTCCAAAAAGTTGTCTCTTTCTCTTTCTCATCTTCCCTTGGGAGATGGAAAAAGTATGCACAGCAGGAAAGCTATCAATCCGCTGAATTCAGTATTGTCTAAAAATCTGCATAACCCCACGCGATCCACGTACTTATCTGTACATGAGAGACAGCCCTACCCCTCCCTCGACCCTCACAGTCGTCTGTTCCCCATCCCTCTAAAACAACTCGTCAATCAATCGAGAACAACGATACGCCAGCGGTAGCGGAGCGTGACTCATCAGCAATCGATATTTTCCCATTTGAAGCTTTGGTAAAGAATCGATTCTCAAGGTACACCCTGATAATCGATTCTTTTCCATAGTTTTAAACAGCGGATCAATCGATGCATCTCAGAGCACACGCCATTGTAAACGAGCATGCTCCCTGCGGTGTGATCGTGGAGACAATCGGATGTAAAGATGCCAAAAACGCCACTTGGTCCTATGACGTCACGTTATGCGGATTTCCCTCTCAAAACCGAGTTGCTGGCCCTCAGCCAGCGCACTAAATTGCGGTATAATCGTCACGGAATAAACATAAGCCCTTATTTCCCGGCTTAATTATCCATGCCTCCCCTTTTCAGCGCGCAGTGACCCATTTAAGAAAAATCTGTTTTTTAGGGATGTTTTTTTGAGCGTAGGGCACTTACCGACTTACCTGATTTAATCCCTGAGTAACTTTTAAAATGTATTTAAATTGAGCTTACAAACTGTAAATACAAGGGATGAGAGTTAATGCGGCTTAATTGGACTGAGTTAAGCAGAAAGGAACCAAGCCACATTTTGGAAAAAATTGAGTTATGAGTGGTTTTGAACTCAATCACTGCTCTACTATCGATCGCCAAAAATTCAAAGTTTTTGTTGGAGCAAATTTTGCAGAAATTGAACTTAAAGTTTATCTTTTACACTGAGTCTTATGCAGGAGCTAAACTTTAAACCTCTTTTTCTCGGTTCGATCCCGATGTGGCTTGGTTCCTTTCTGCTTAACTCCGTCCAATTACATTGCAGAATTGGAAACCCATTTGACAATTTATTTCTCTACTAAAGAAGGGTTGCAAAGTTTCTTCTAAAATTAGGTAGTCGTGAATATTTTTTGCGATCTAATTAAGTCTGACAATTCAGGGAGGCACCTGAAGACGCGATTCGTAACTAGTGTTGCACCAAACAGCATATCTCTTTGAGGGGAAATTGTGCTCATATGAGCTTTTTCCCTGTTGAGATTTCCAGTTTTTTGGATTTTTAACGCACGTTGGCAAAAAATTCCAACATACTATTCTAATTTCTAAGTAAGAAGTATTTGAATAATTCAGGGAAGCAACTGCAGGCGCGTTTCGTAACTAGTGTTGCACCAAACAGCATATCTTTTTGAGGGAAAATTGTGCTCATGAGCTTCCTCCTCTGTGTTGAGATTTTCAGCTTTCTGCTGAATTTTTAACGCACGTTGACAAAAAACTCCAACATACTATTCTAATTTCTAGGTAAGAAGTGTTCGAATATCCATAATTTGCCTTTAAAACGCATGTATTATTGAGAGGAATCTGGCGACATCCGGCTGTACATACGGCGTTTTCATCAGGGGAGATCGACAGGGTTCCAGAATTTCGGACGCCGGGCGAGCATCCGGATCCTCCCCCCCCCCCCCCCCCCCCCCCCCCNGATTTGACGCACAGGGTCAATCGCGCGCACGCATCGCGCCGGTTGCCACTTCCCGCGGGAAAATTTCAAATTTCCAGCGCCCCCATTGGCCGCCCGCGCCGGGGTAGGGGAGGGAAAATCTTTACCGAGAAGTACGCACTTTACGCGCTTCGTCAGCGATCGAGGTGTGGTCGGCGCAGCGGGGTGGGGCGGGGGTGCTGCTGGGCTGGGACAGCCCCATTTAAACTTTTGACTGTGGAGTGCCCCACTACCCCCCGCCGCCCCCTACCACCACCCACCCCTCCTCGGGCTGCGGGGGCCATGCGCGATCGATTTCCGCGTTCAAGGTCATCGCGAGTGCTCCCGAGGCCCGCGAGATTTCGCTGACGCAATCGTAGCTCAACACAGTGGCGTGGCGTGAATTGCGATATATCGATTGTTCTGCCATTTAAACCTATGGTAAAGAATCGATTATTAAGGTGTTCGCTGCGAACACTCTGTTTATCGATCCTTTTCTAAAGGTTTAAATGGCATAACAATCGATAAATCGCAGAGCACGCCACGCCACTGGCAATCGTAGCTGAACAGCCAGCAAGCACATGGTCAATCAAAGCGGGGTGCGATCAATCGATGGTCGCGTTCGATTTCGATTGTTCGTGAGGTTTTGAGTGAGCGTTTGAATCGAGGGATCGACCGGCGAGGCGAGTACCTGCTGGGGGGGTTGCAAGGTTTTGACACGGGGGTTGAAATTGGTGTGCAATCCTGAATAAATTACGAAAGGCTATTTTTATGTTTGACGTGTCCGGTCGGATGTTAAATTAAATCCGCCCGGATTTTATTCAGCCTCTATTGCACGCTGTTGTATTTCAGATCGCCTAAAATTGCCTTCGAAATGATTTTGTGCACACGCAATCTGTGTATTTCAGGAGTGGGGGTTTGAGAACTTTCAATTTTAAGCAATGGAGAATTTGCACACAAAAATTGTATTGCTTCATCTGGGAGTGCTTAATAAGCTGAGTTCGCAGTATTTTTCATAATTTTTTTCTGAAATGGGAAATCGGAGAAAAATAGTTTTAAAAATGAGAAAATTTGCCGCCTTGTGACGTCATTTGGCGGCCTTTTCCATTTTAACACACGCATGTTGGCAAATTAGGTTATTCTGTCATATTTCCTCGGTTAATTGTTCAATTTAGAAACCAAGGATATCCTCGTGCTCAGTTTTCTAAGCAGATTCATTTTAAACATGGAATTTACAAAATTTCAGACACCTGCAAATTCTCCACTGGGACATTGTTGGCATTTTTCGATGTTTGGAATGATGACGCGGGTTTATTTCGCAAAATATTTTTGTAGCATAATATGTGATGTATATGTCGAAGGAAATTAGTAAAATCAGGCATTCCATCAAATGTATTGCCGAGGTAGTCAAATTTCGACGGTTTACGGAATTTTGTACATTTGTGGCGAGGAGTTCACGAATTTTCAATATTTTGGGAAGAGTAACTCCTCAAATCCGCTAACTCTCCTTGTTCCTTCCTTTTTACATGCCTTTAGTACATTTAACTGGACGTTCCATCCATACTGAACGTTCCAAGTCTTTGCTCAACTTGGATATATTAAAATAAAAATAACCTATAGATTCCCTCAAAATTCTCCATAATTCCTTCGTTTATACAAATCAAATTAAATCTTTTTATTTTAAATTTTTGATTTCACCTAGTGTTTTGAAAAAACTTTCAATACGGAACATGCACTCGATAATTTATAAATAATTAAATTTTAAGGTAAAATTTTGCAGCACTACAATGGGACTAAGCCCCTTTAGCCCTCATTCTCTCAAGTTTCTACTTATCTGTATCAAAAAGTGAGTAAAATTACCGCGGATGTGATGATATACTCTACCCGCAAGCTGAAGTTCGTCTTGGCTGCGTTAAATTTTATGAAACCCTACACAAGAGATATGATTTACAATTCACAAGTTAAGCAGAAGAAATGAGTTTGTATTATAGATACTTTAATTTGATGATTTCAGTATGACCATTGGAGTGCTGACCACTAAATATCATAATGTTCTTTTTAACATCCTCAGTTTTCCAGTCCTCGAAATGAGCTTGCCTCTTCTCGCTGCGCGGCGCGCGCCGGAACTGCCGGAAGGCGATCATGCGCGTAAGAGGCGCCTTCAAAATCGAGTGATACAATAGTAGTAACACCTGCCGTCGAGACATGGAACGCATCGTAAAGTGAATATTTATAGACTTATACGATAATTCCTGCCCTCTCCAATTAACTCTTTCACAAAAAAAAAATCGCCGTTTTCCAGACGAAAGGACGCAACTATATTTACATTTCTGCTCGTATCGTGTATTTTCACCGGGAAAATTTCGAGCGCTTCATTTAAATTACACTGATTTTTCTTCTGTGGCAAAATTCAGTGAGATTATTGGCGCATATCACACATATTTATATTAAATTTATATTCGTAAAGAAAAGCTAATATTTCTGCTTCATCCAAGAAATGATCTATCTGCGTGGGAGGACTAATGACAAATAATGTCTCTAAATCGAGCCAGCAGTAGCTGCTCTTTTTTTGCTACAATTCGTCGCTTGGCTGACGAAAGGGCGTAACTACAATTTGAGAAGAGCCCGGGAAATCATTGAGTTCTATGGACGACAGGGTTTATTGCAGAGTGTAGCTACGTCCTCATGTCAGGAAGGCGACGAATTGTAATAGATATTCATAAATAAAGCATTTGCTACTATGTACGTCTCAGTGCTCTACCTCTTTACTCTCTCCAACCCAGACGTGAACAATAAACGCTGTACAAACTCTCTCATAGGTGTTTTTGTATATCGACGGCGTAAGTCTGCAATTAGATCTCTCGTTTGCGGTGTCCGAAAATCTCCGCTTCTATGTTATTTTTTTAAGGAGAACAAATTGACATCATTCCTTGAAGTTTTTGCAGAATTTTCTTCGCACAGCGAGGAAAAATACGGCAGTTATAAAAACCCTGGTAAAAATTGGCGATAAGAGCTGCGTTTCAAAATACCATAGGAATTCTTATAGCCGGCTAAAGAAGGCTACAGAAAATCAAATAGCTGGCTGTAGAATGCGGAGAAAATCATACAGCCGGGCTATACGAGGCGATAAAAAATTATGCAACCGGGCTACAGTTCCTATAGCCGAGCTTTACACTTTATCGCCTGGCTGTTGCTTTTTCGCCATCGATTATAAAAGGCTATAAGAAATTGTGTAGAAATTCGTGTGCTTTGGAAATCATTAAGTTTGATATCGAACCACCTTAATATTTACAAAACACACGTTATATTTTCCTTTTATACATATTTTTTTTCATCAATTAAAACGAGAATAATCCATACAGGATGTGCAAACATTTCAAAATCATGAGTTGAATAACGCTAACTCCACGAGATTAAATATTAGAACCTAACACACAGCGGAGCGGCGACGCACTGGCACTGGCGCCTACAAACCTAACAGGGATACTTCACGCATTGCGCAATGCGTGAAGTATCCCTATTAGGTTTGTAGGCGCCAGTGCGCGTTTCGCGCTGGCTGCCCGCCTGCCGCGCCGCAGCGTGCCACGGCGCTTGAAGCAACTATTTCACACCAGAGGTGTTACACAGTTTCACACGAAACTGAAGGCGCTCTAATATATTAGGAGTGGCAGGCATCCATCAAAAGTACGGAGGTTTCCTCGCAAAATAAATTAAGATACTACGGCTCAAAAAGAGAGCAGTGGTCCAAAAACTCACTAAGTCCTAGCATCCGTAATTAGTGACGTTTAGCATACACTTTATCGCCTGACTGTGAGTTGCTTAATTCGGCTATAAAAGGCTATAAGAAATTGTGTAGCCGGCTAAAGAAGCTATTGGAAATCTTACAGCCGGCCGTAGGTCTATGGTATTTTGGAACACAGATTCTACTGCCAATTTTTACCAGGGATAAATTGTCAAGTAGTTTTCCGTTTAAAAAATAAAGTATGACAGCAAGTCTGCGACGCCGCAAACCGAGTTATGTGATAGCCGACTTAAACCGTCGATATATTTTGTATGTTAAAAGTGTTCTGCATACAACTTTGATTTCAGAGTGTACCTTGTGGCGCTTAAATTCTTACCTTGCACAGTAACCCATTCAAAAAAAAAAAAGGTACAGGAGGAAAGAAAAAAAACCAAAATTTCCAAACAAATTAAGAAAGTATAAGTAAAATGCACAGTAAAAAAATCAAAATTTGTATCAATATGTGCACCAAAACAGAAGCAGCCTCAAGCCTAGGCTCAGCCAGGTGACGACTGACCCAGCTGAAATTGACTTGAGCTGACTTGGATCTGTAGAAACAGAGCATTCTAAAAAGTCGAATAACGCTTATCATCTTCATGCCCTAGGGACAGCAGAACTTCATGTTAACAGAACTCCTCTCTGCGATAGTACACTGGAAAAAAAAACCACATTGGATCTAGAGTCCAGACTCTTAAAAACATCGACAAGAAAAAGTACTCTTGATTCAATCAGAATCTAGTTTAAATCAAGAACCAAGCCTCCTAATTTAAGCGGAATTCGTTTCGATTCAAGCAAAAATCCGATTGAATCAAGGGTATTTTTTCTTGTCAATGTTTTCAAGAGTCTGGACTCTAGATCCAATGTGTTTTTTTCCCCATTGTATCAACAACTTGATTATGGGCTTGGCTCCCCTCCCTGAGTAAGTCACAAATTCGGAAAACCAAGTTTGAATCATCAGCTGCGTTTGGATTCCGCCGGGGGTAAGTATTTTTTCTGCATATCTTTAAGAATGTCCCAGAAAACGAATGTGAGAAGGTTGTAAGGTCCGAGCCGGAAGTAACAAGGCACGAAACCTTTGTAGAGACCGGTGAGTCCTTCTTTTTTGAAGCATTGTACCATGCACTCGATGATATTTTTGTATAGGATGCCTCTTCCGCTCGCATCGACTCCTGCAGGGAAGAAAAGAAGAGAGGCAAAAATACATAAAGTATTATTGTTTTTACTCGCTAAAACTGCAAATTTAAGAAAAAAATTACCATCTAAATTTCATAGTTTCTCACAATTTCCACAATTTTATTGCAAAAGATGAAGTTGCACAACCTTAGCATCATTGCAATGCTAGTGGTTCCTTTTTGCAAAATGCAATCCATTTGAGAATACCTAATTAAATATCAACGGAGATGTTGCATGTGTGAGGAATTTGCGGTTTGACTGTGGATTCTTCTGTAAAAGTTCGCGAGAAACACGATGGCGCCACTGGTTTTTTCTGCAATCCACTCCCAAGCTCTAAAAAAGCTCTCAAATTGAGGCGAAAATGAAGGGGATATCCCACGCTATCCTGAGAGTCCACCAAGACAAACTCTCCATGCAAAGATAGGGAGCAAATACATTGACAGGGCTGCCACATTATTTGGGGACTCTAAAACTGAAAACACGGCATCACTGCTAATGTATTTGCTCCCCATCTTTGCATGGAGAGTTCGTTTTGATGTAGATGTGGACTCTCAGGGTAGCATGGGATATCCCCTCCATTTTGGCCTCAACTTGAGAGCTTTTTTTGAGCTTGGGAGTTGATTTCAGAGAAAACCAGGGGGACCATCGTGTTTCTCGCGAACCTTTACATAAGTACCAACAGTCAAATCGCAAATTCCTCACACATGCAACATCTCCATTATCGCTGATCATCCATAACGACCCGCCTTGCTCATTATTTATCAAAGCCTTTCTATTCGTGGATAAATATCCACGAAATATCCATGAAATCATGATGGTCCCTTTCATTTCATTCCGGAACATGTGCGAAGTTGCATTCATCTCGCTTTTAGAGCTGACCTTGAGTAATCCATTAAGCACTGCTTTTTACGAAAAAAACCAACATATATCTAATTTCAATCTAATTCTCTGTAAAAGCACTAACGAAAAACTTGTTTTTCCCTTCGAACTATCAACCATTGTCCATCGGTAATCAAAAAAGGTGACGTCAGTGAAATGAAATGAATGGATGAGATCATTGATGGGAACTTGCCCTTTTCATTAATACCTAGAATAAAATCAATTACGAAGTCTCCATGTCAAAACTATTGAATATATTGGACCCACTGACTGAAGTGCCACACTGTGGAATTCTGAAAGTTGTACAATTTCACCGATACGATTAAAAATATCACTCGATGAGGCACCAAAACGTAAAATGGCAAAATGAAGTGGCAGCCCTGTCAATGTATTTGCTCCCTAACTTTGCATAGAGAGAGACTATCTTGATGTAGACGTGGACTCTCAGGATAGCGTGGGATATCCCCTCCATTTTGGCCGCAACTTGAGAGCTTTTTTTGAGCTTGAGAGTTGATTTCAGAGAAAACCAGTGGCACCACCGTGTTTTTCGCGAACTTTTACATAAGAATCAACAGTCAAATCGCAAATTCCTCACATATGCAACATCTCCATTGCAATAGCGTGGCGTGCTTTGCGATTTATCGATAATCTGCCTTTAAATCTGTGGAAAAGGATCGATAAACAGGATGTTCGCAACGAACACCTTAATAATCGATATTTTACCGTAGCTTCAAATGAGGAGCTCTCAATAATCGATCATTCACGTCTCGCCACTGATCCATTGTTAATGGGTCAGTTACGATGGTCACGGAATCGGGGTTTGATGCTTGATTTTTTGTAGATTAGCTAAAAATAATAGGATCCGTCCAAACAGTAACTTTCTACTTCAATGTTAGCACAGATATCGCCTTCTGAAAAGCCGGGTTTTTGACGTCATCCACCGCGGTAGCGACACCATTGGTTTCTTCCACCTTGCTTTCATCCGGGTTTCGAGTTGAACAACCAGTGCAAATGTGCGTCACATGCACCGACTGATGAAAGCAAGGTGGAAGAAATCAAGAGTGTCACTACCACGGTGGATGACGTCAAAAATCCGATTTTTCAAAGGGAAATATCTCAGATTGAACGTAGAAAGTTGCTGTTTTTTTGTATCTGTTTTCAAAATTTTGCCATTCTTCAACTATTTGATATTGCTGCTAATATCCTACAAGAGGTATTTTGAGAGCTTCTTCAACTTTATTTTCAAAGAAAAACAAGCTGAAAATCATTTTTTTTTCAAAAAGAAATATTGCGGTATTACTTCAAAAATATTTTGAAAACACTTTCAGAATGTAGCAGTGTTAAAACTTCCCTTATTAATATTGTAAAATAATTTAACTGGCTCAAACATATTTTAAGATTCGTTGCTTTGTATGTTGCCTATCCTTCTAATTTAAGGCGTTAAAATCGTCACAGCCTTCACTGGACTGAAGTTACAACCCTGCAGCGGCTGTGTGTTGCCTATTCGTTCCTTTCTGGGCATAAAAATGATCTGCAGTGATCGTTGTGGCAAATCAGACGAATATTGATAAAAAATTTCAATTTTATGACCTCATAATTTCAATAAATCCCGAGAAACTTACCCTGGTTGTAAAACCTGGTCGCAACCACATCAAAAGGGAGCATAAAGAATGTAACAGATACACCTCCAACCATGGCTGCGACACACGAGTCTAAAAATCCTCCCGATGTCGAAAAAATCTAGAAAATTAAAACCAAAATAAATAGATACCCAGGCAGCGGGCTAATTATTGAATTTGATAGACAAAACGATAGACAACGAAGACAAAGGGTCCATGGAGCAATCCTATTGGTTGAAATGGGCGGTTCTTAAAGGGAGAAAATGATGGACTAACTTTAGGGTTTCTCTTGGATTGCCGTTAGTTATAAGTTAATATATATAGTCCAGTACCTAACCTTCTTTGACCATTGCAACCACCTGCCTCCACCAATAGGATCCCTCCATATCCCTTTTGTCTTATTTGTCTATAGCTTTGTCTATCAATTTCAATAATCGGCCCGCTGCAGATTACGGGTGGCGCATGAGAAGCGGCTGCACAAAGTGCCTTCACAACAAGGACACATTAAGATGAGAGGAAAGAAAAAAGATGAGGAAAGAGAGGTGAGAAAAAATGCAAGGAAAAGTGACGATAACAGTGGCGTGGCGTGCTTGGCGATGTGTCGATTGATTTACCATTTAATCCGATGGAAAAGGATCGATAAACAGGGTGTGCGCAACGAACACCTTAATAATCGATATTTTACCATAGCTTCACGAACAGTGTTAATGACAACATCCAAGAGATGTCGCACATTTTTTCAACATCTGCCGTGTTACAGCACCCTTTTTTTCGGTGAATAATCTAGCATGAATATGAAAAATATCCTTTTCATGGAATTGAAATAAAATCATCCGAGGAACTTCTCGGAGGCAATCTCTGGGAGGAAAGTGAAACTGCAAAAAATCTCGGTTGCAGTATTTCAAAAAACAATTTTAATGATAATTTAGTCGCGTGGTTAGCATTTTGCGCAGCAAATGTTGCTCGACTTAATGGTTTACGGGATTTTCCACGGGTTGATTTTTTCCCCGTCTTTTTCTCGTAATTTCTAAAAATGTACCTATCACGCTATAGAAAAACCATGACGTGCGGAAAGTAATAATTTTCATTTTTATCAGGTATCTACAGTGCTGTATTTCAAAAGTTTCTCTGCGATACATACAGACCGAGTTAATTAGAAACGCACTATGTCCCATCAAGTTGAAACTGAGAAAACGAGGTATTTGTATAAAGTTTTCGACAAAGTTTAGCGACTGTTTTTACCTCCAAAAATTTTTTCTAGACCTCAATTTTTAACAAGAGACAATTTACGATTAGCTGAGTTCAACTCTTCAGCTAATTTTTTCTCTAAAATGCGACTTTAGTGTGTTTCTTTTGACTCGGCTCATATTATTCCTATTTTATTAAAGAGTGCACCTACAATTTTCAATGGAAAGAGAATGGTTTCGATCGATCAGGAGGAATTGGTCAACCGCTCTGAGACATAAATTGAGACCGCAAATTGAAATCAAGTTTTCAATCCCTCTCTCTCTACCGTATTTTTTCTCCTTTTTTGTAACTTGTGAAGTAATTTTGCAGCATCGCGCTCGACAGATTGATTTCAGCGTTCGTAGGACTGTCCTCAACGAGTACAAGTTAAAAAGTTGCCTTTGAAAAGTGGCAGTTCAAAAGTGGAAAGTTTACTGTGATGACTGTTGCGGTTTAAACACTGACGAGTGCTTCCAACTCTGTGAACAAAAATAGTTGATTTAAGTTTCTTGATCCCTGTATTTCATTGGACCTGGGCGTGAAGTGAAGAAGGGCTCATTTTGAGCAAGATGCATATACCTATCTTTTATCTCCCTGTTCAGTCCTTTTTATCGGAAACTTGAATACACTACATTGGTAAGTTAATAATATTATCGCTTTAAGTGATGCCTTAATAACTATACTACATTTTAAGAAGTTCTATTAAAATGTGGCGTAGTCAGACATTCTTTAACAAGGAAATGAGGATAAGGTCAAATATTTCTTTGAGGAAGATTCAAAAGGTCAAAATTTACAACCAAAAAAAAAGAGAAATGAAGAAGAAGAAAAAAAGGAACACGATAAAAACTGATCTTACTAGGCGGGCAAATTTCGCGTCATGAAGGGTTCTTACCCTTTATTTCCCCTCAGATACGTCATTGGATCACGTACTTTGCGTGTTGATGCAACGATTGTGTTATTTAAAATCAATAAATTGATGTAGAAAAATGTGTGTCTTAGATTTCGCATGTGTAAGTCTCCCCTCGTGTTTTATTTTTTTAAAGGTAAACCGACCAACGATCTCTATTGATAATGTTTTTTGAAATTTCTTCACTCACTCTAAAAAAATCATACAAATGCAATAAAGCATTTTATTAGATTTCCTTCAGAAAAATATAACATAATCGGAGATTCTTAATCGTTGCGATACTTGAAATATGCATGTTTTATCTTTATAATTGGACGTATTTCTATTAAACAGAACTATGTGCAGGTGAGAAAGATAGGGTGTGCTCATCAGGGCCGGATTTAGGGGGTGGCAAATTTTGCAATTTTTTTAAATGTAGCTATGAAGAAAAATCGGAATCAGAAAAAAAATTACAAACGAGGAAAGGTGACAAAATCTCTCATCTCCTGAGAGTATATTTCTAATTTTGTCGTCTTTCTGTGATACAATAGACAGCACCTTTCATTAGTCCATTTAAGACTGAGAGAGAAACCGAACACGGAATTTGGTCGGGAATGGCGCGGCGCAGAGAGCAATGATGACGAGGACTTTAGATGAAAAGGAGTAGCCCTCGGTGTGGCGGTCGGCATGTAACACATATTAGCACCCACAAGACTGCATGAATACTTCACGCATTGCGTCAAAGACAGTGCGGTCGCTGCGGTCAACAGCGGGCGGCGTACAACGCATAGCGCCTACAAGACTGCATGAATACTTCACGCCTTGCGTCTAACACAGTAGGGTTTTTTTTTTATGCGGATCGCAGCGGAACGCGGTGGATCGCGATGAACATCGGTATTTTTTTATTCCGTTCCTCAGCGTGATCCAAGCGTTCCAGGTGGATCAGGGTGGAACGCTGGATCGCTCTTCCGAGGTGGGGTGAGCTCGCGATCCACTGTGATCCTAACCTAATGCGAGGAAGTTGCCGTCCCCAAAAAATCAAAACAATAACAAATCGAACCAAATTCCAAGTTTGGATTTTTTTATCACTTGAAACACTTGGATCGGTCCGGATTGCTCAGGATTCCGATCCAGCGCGTTACACTGCGATCCACGCTGATCCGCGAAAAAAAAGCCCTAGTGCGGTCAGCGCGGCGCGACGGCGGAAGTTGAAATTATTAAACCACATTTAACCAACATTTCTGCACTGCAGAAATTTGCTTAGTTCTCACATGTAAATATTTCATTGTTTTTTAAAAATTAAACGAAACTTTTTAAAAGAAAAACGGGGGAAGAAATATGGGTGGGATGAAGGCTCAGGGAGAAGAGAAAAATCGGGGAGGGGGGAATAAGAAGAAGGGGGGTGGAGGAGAATATCACAGAGGAAAAAAAGGTAACACTTTGACGGATTTACGCTAACTGCTCGTCAAAAAAAGTCATCCCCCACCCCCCCATTTCAAACTTGACGAGATGCTCGTCCGCAAACATGGCTACTGATATCACTGTTCCCTTTTCTTGAGCTGTAGAAAATGGGTGGTGCATTCTGCCCTCGTCTCATCTTGGGCCTCCTGACCATACAAGCGGCTGTCCACTTCCTGAAAGTACAGGCCGCCGTTAAAACAGTGCGGTGTCAAGGCCGAGAATACCAGGCTGGCGAAATCGTCAGCACCAAACCCGAGGCCGGAATCCAAAAAACCTACTGCGGGTCCGACACTGGCTGGTTCTACGCGGTGGACAACAACTTGCTGTTCCATCTCCAATGTACATCCTCAGCCCCAGCCTCGAATCTTGCTAAAATTACTCTCATCAATATGAAGAACAACAGCAACCGTGGAAACACTTTCGACCCACGGGTTATGTGTGACATTTACACCTTGGATTACGGAAGGCAGCGACCCACTTTGAACGCCGCGTACCTCATCGCTAAGAAGCTCGAGGGGCACTGGGTACCGTACCACCTCAACGGCTGCAATGGTCGAGATTACGTCAATTATTTGGCAGACGGACAAGTCACAAACCCTCCTTGACGTCCGATTGTCCGTTGAAGACGACTTTCAAAGCTAGCACCAACGTCAACGGCAAATTTCCAGGTATTCATTAAAAACACTTCTTAGCTGCGTATGAAAAATTCAGAAGTCATGGTGCTTCCCTTATCTTCCTTTTGAGTTGAGATGTGATGAATGTGCTGCGGACGTCGACCGTTTACGAGAAGAGATTCAAAGTTCCATGGGCGCGTGAAGAGAGACCAGGGGGGTCCTGCCCCCCAGAACTGAAAATAGTATCATCCTGTCCCCTTTCCGGAAATTCACGATGGTGGAGAAAAACCCTCATCGAGGATATTCACCTCTTTTCTTGTTTTAAATGGAAACACCTAGTTAATTTAGTCAGTATTTTCTAAAATTTTCGTCATGGCAGCCTCAGAATCCGTCCAAATAGAGTTAAACTTTCAAAAAATGTCCGAACTTGTCAATTCCAAGAATCCGGAAGTATTTTATGCTGAAACTCCGGCTGTTGACCTACCTACATGGTGCATGATGAGCTTCAGGTGACGTCATAAGCCAAACAAGTTTCCCGAACTTCGGCTTGTTTGCAAAATAAAACTGCCAACACGTTCTTGAACATCAACCATGTATAAGTCAACAGTAGAATGCTGGAGTCCACTATTGCCAATAAACTAGTGGAGGGCAGTGTTCGAAACTCGAAGGCGCCAACGCGCCAAATACGCCGAAGATTTCGGTCATTGCGCCTAGAAAATGAAGACTCTGCGCCAACGTGGCTCCTAAAAATTCCCCCCCCCCAAAAAAAAAAAAAGAAATCCTAATTTTTCTTTTTAGTGAATTTTTGAAATTTCCCACGAGTTACATTTGCTAGTTTTGTGACTAAAACATCTTGCGTGTAACTTTTCACTAACTGCGTCGTGCTATATACACTGAAAAAAAATTCTCGGCGTTTTTACCAAGGTCCGTTGGTACCTTTACCAACTCACTTTTTTTTACCAAAAATTGGTAATTTTACCAAGACAGACTGGTAAGCTGACCTAAAAACCGGTATTTTCACTGTTTTTTCCGGGTAAGAATACCACTTTTATTGGTAATCAATTCCCGGTAACTTTGCCATTTTATCTCGGTAATTCTACCACAGTCGATAAAAAATATTGGCGTTTTTACCGAGGATCAGTAAAATTACTGCGAAAGTCAATAATCTCACCGAGATTTCTCGGTAAAATTACCAATTCCATAAATGGTAATTTTACCAAGAAAAAACTGGGATCAAATAGAGCCCTGAATTCTTGGTAATTTTACCCTTTTCTTGGTAAATAAACCGAGATTTTTTTTCAGTGTAGACAAAAAGTCAATCTGGTCCCTATACAAATCGAGCTTGATGCGCCACATGGCTCCTGAAACGCGAAGGTGAGTTTCGAACACTGGCGGCGGGTCTCTTGCATAGAGTACATAGAGTCGTAATGTAATTGGGAGAGCTGGCGCCACTTTTAAGCATTTTCCATGTCCCGAATTCCGAGACTCATGTGTGACGCCGGGTCACTTTTTCGATACATAATCGATTGTTTGCGATACACGGATACCCGGCCATCCGATGACAACAACAACAACAACAACAACAGCAGCAGCAGCAGCAGCAACAACAACAACAACAGCAACAACAACAACAACAACAACAACAACAACAACAACAGCAACAACAGCAACAGCAACAACAACAACAACAGCAACAACAACAACAACAACAACAACAACAACAACAACAACAACAACAACAACAACAACGGAGATAGGAATTACCACGTATTCCACACCGCCATTTTGGATCGAAAATGTATCGAAAAAGCGACCCGAACTCGGCGCACACCGGGCTCGGAATTCGTCGAACAGAACATGGCGCCAGCTCTCCCATTTACATTACGACTCTATGTACTCTATGCTCGCATCTTGTCTCTGGATCTGATGCGTTCTTCAATAATGTATTTTATAGGTTTTAGGCTGTCATCGCAGGAGGGACGCTACAATTGGCCCCAGAGCCAAGGGCGTTCGAGAAGTCCGAGGCGCAGGAGCAACGACTCCGGGGCGGTTTTGACGCTCTCACCATCATCAAAGGGCAAGTCCTACCTCCCGAACCCCATGCAAATGTTCAACTCCAAGAGTTCCAGGAGTTCTTCCTCCCGCCATTTGGCCACGACGAGCTCAGAAAAATACAAGAAAACGCCGGACATTAATTGGCCCAAGCCTCGGAAACACAGGCACCATCACAATGATAACGATACCGAGGAATCCGCGGGCACACGTTCAGCACGGCCTCTTTGGCGTTTGTTGGGTAGGCGTAGAAAGTAGATGATTCTAATCATGGGATGGGCCTCCTTTTAAATTTTGTCGGAGCTAGGTGATTCATGTGATCTGTACTGCCGTGCTAAGGAAAAACGCCGTATGAACCTTCAGACGTTGCCAAGTTTCCTTCGATAAAAACCGTATTTACTGGGAAAATTATGAATATTTTTTTCCAAAATTTTCAGGCAATTTTGTACGCAATGTAATATAAAATATCCGAAAATTTCAAGGGAAAACATACACGATAGTCGTCAAAAATACTCGTTTTATCAGGGGAAATTTGGCAACTCCCGAATGTTCATACGGCGTTCTTCCTTAGCACGGCAGTGTAGTAAACAAGCAACAATGGGTGATTTGCACGCAAATTTTTTATCGCTTCACCCGACAGTGCTTAAAGAGGTGAGCTCGCAGTATTTTTTATAATTTTTTCTGATATGGGGAAAAAGTATACAAATTGGTTAAATTTGAGATTAATGAGCAATCTGGCGGCATTTGCCATTTAAACACTTGCACTTTAGCAGATCAGATTATTTGATCATTATTTTCTCCTCTTATACTTTTTCAATTATAAACCAAGGGTATCCACGTGCTCGGTTCACTCAGTGCTTTCCACTTAAACGCAAATTTCATCAAATTTCAGACACCTGCAGCCTCCCTTTCACATTGAAATAAGTTTTGTTTTAACAAACATCGCGCAGTGGAAAATTAGAGGAGACAACGATTTGACTGCCGTGGTACATCACCTCAATCATTTTCCTACCATTTCGGCTCGTTCAATTCCTTCGAGTCTATAGACTTTCCAAAAGCAGGTTTGTCTGGGGTTCTGGGCTTTAAAATGCGCAATATATAGCTAAGTAATCTACTCATCTGTAATATCATCTCATCAATAATAAATAATAAAGCCACCATCACACAGTGGTTTAGTCACCCACTGTATGGCGGCTAACTGCAGAGAAGAGACTCAATTGGCCACTAGACAAAGTACAAAATTAAGCATTCTGATCCATGTCTCTCAACCAAAATTTCACGGAGAATACGATTCAATGAACGAGTATTACTGAAACTAACTCCTAACCAAGATATTCCACCTTTCTTGACGCGTGAATTCAAACCTCCCGCTCATGAAAACTCAAGGGGCTGCGTGAGTCAAATCGCACACTAAATGTTACCGTGGCAGTCTCTGCGATACCAAAATATAGTAGCCTCAATCCAGGGCCGGATTTACCTATTTGCCGCCCATGGGCCGCCTGTATTTTGCCGCCCCCTTCTCATTCGTTTTGAAATATCAATAAAAACCATCAAATGAACGTGCCAGCGGGGGAGGGGTGCATAAGACGCGTTTACTCATGTTGAACACATTTTTTGCGAAAGCCCTTTCAACACTACCAGCAAAAGCTCACGGAACTTTGCGCGAAAGTTAAGTTTCGTAAACCTATCTGCAGTCTTGTAGGCGCTATGCGTTGTACGCCGCCCGCTGTTGACCGCAGCGACCGCACTGTCTTTGACGCAATGCGTGAAGTATTCGTGCAGTCTTGTAGGGGCTAATATGTGTTACATTCCGATCGCCGCGCCGAGGGCTTCTCCTTTTCATCTCAAGTCCTCGTCATCGTTTCTCCCTAAGTCGCGCCGTTCCAGGCCAAATTGTGTTTAGTTTCTCTCTTAACTCAACTAATTAAATGTGCTATCTCTTGTATCACTGAAAGACGACACAAGTAGAAATTACTATACTCTCAGAAAATTAGAGATTTTGTTGTTTGTAATTTTTTTTCTAAATTCGAATTTTCTGTACCTACATTTAAAAAAATTTCGAAATTTGCCGCCCCCTATTGATTTGCCGCCATGGGCCGCGGCCCATGTGGCCAACCCCTTAATCCGGCCCTGCCTCAATCATGACGCTTTGGCTCGGCTGAAGTAAATTGTTTACACTTTGAACAATTACGGGTGAGGAAGGTAGAATGCTCGATTGAGGAGCCTGCCGAAACCCTTGTAAAGCGCGATTTGACTCGCGTAGGGTATTGAGTTTCTTGTGACCGGGCAATTCACATTTCCCGTAACCAATGTACGATAAAAGCGTTAATATCTTAGTTAAAAGTTCTGCCTGCAATCTTGGTTTAGCAACATGTAACAGAGTGCTTAAATTCGTACCTTGTTTAGTGACCAGTGAGCTGTTATTTGAAAGCTAACCTGATGCTTCCTGAGATACTCCTTGCAGAGATTGAAGGAGGGGAATTGAGCACAAGTGGCAACGACTATCCTGCAAATCCCTGCCGTGCTCCCGCGAAACAGCCCTCTCACACCGTGCTCCTTGAAAATAGCAACGAGGGCACTTGTCGCACTTTCATGCCCGTGCTGGTGTCCCACGGCGATTGCCTCGTTTGCTTTCGCTTGCAACTGCACTTTGATCTGACAAAAAAAAATTTACACCTTTGAAACACCCTCATAATATCAGATACACAATATGAATTTTATATGAATTATTTATGCTATAATGACCATCTGTTAGGTCTGTGAACCGAAATCGAAAATCGAATCGACTTCGATCGGTATCGATGCGATGCGTCGATATTTCGGCAATCGACGATATTTCCGATAATCGCCGATATTTTCGATAATCGACGATATTTCGATAATCGTCGTCGTCGATATTTCGATAATCGTCGATATCCCGATAATCGTCGATAACGAACGATATTTCGATAATTCCCGATATTTCGATAATCGTCGATATTTCGATAATCGTCGATATCCCGATAATCGTCGATAACCCATCAACCGATCGAAGTTCGATCGGTTTTGGGTGTTGATCTTGCAAAGGCCTACTATTGGTATTTTGAGTTTTATTGTTTGAGGGCATCATATATATTTACAGTTGACATAAATGTTGACACTCGAGCGTATTTCAATCCAGCTACGATAGTTTTCGCTGTCCCCACTGGAATGAAGATTTTTAGATGGCTTGCCACTTTAGATGGAATAAGGTCCACTAAATTCAGCCCTCTTATTCTTTGATTAAGGTCATTCTTAATTCTCTTCGGTATTTTGGTTTTAAATTTAAAATTAAGCCCTGGATAGACGATCAAATTCAGAACCAATTCCGATCAAAGTAGACATGCTGATGACTGATGGTAACCATCCACCATCAAATTTTGACAGGCCGCACCATTTTGTTCAAAGTAAGATCAGAATAGAGTGCCACCATTCATCATCTCCTGCGTCAGGAAACATTTCTGCCAAGTTTTCATTCCAATACTAAGCAAATTAATGAGTTTAAGACTGACGACTCCCGACACTTTGATGGTAATTGGTTCGGGGAATTTGATCGTCTATCGAGGCCTAAATAGAATGATCATTTTAGTTTCTTCGTCATCAGTTCAATTTTACTTTCGAATACTTTTTTTTTGTTATCATGATTTTTGTGATTGAAATGATATAGTTATAATTTTACAAATTTGGAATATTAAGATTTGTATTTTTCATGTCTTATTGCGGGTTTTATTTTTATTTTATGAGGATTTTAGGTTAAATCAAACTAATGATTTTCAAAATTATAATTAAATTGAGTTAATTCAAATTTTAATAAAGAAGTCTAAACTTATACTTAAATTTACAATCTAGTCCTTTTATCAGGCCCTTTATTTACATAGTATTTTCTTCGTGCCTGGGAGGCTTTACAACAATGGAGGTCTTTGCTCTTGTGTGTGTTAGGAATTTTCGATTTATAAGTATTGATATAAGTAAATTTTACGAGAAAACCAATGGGACCCTCTTAAGACCTCCACGTTTTGTAATAATGGAGTTATAAGCGTTTAAAGTTTCCAAATTTCGTCCGACCTCTCCTATTGACTTGATCCATTGTGCGCCACTGAGTGGGGCAGTATACTGCCGTGCTAAGGAAGAACGCCGTATGAACATTCGAGAGTTGCCAATTCTCCTTCGATAAAATGTTCATTTTGGAGGAAAGTTTTGAATATTTTTCCTTGAAATTTTCAACAACTTTAGGTATAATTGCGAGCAAAAGTATCTGAAAAACTGGAAAGAAAATATTCATCAGTTTACCAGAAAATTCGTGTTTATCGAGGTAAATTCGGCAACGCCTTGAGGTTCATACGGCGTTCTTCCTTATAGCACGGCAGTATATCAATGAGTCTTACCATGTAGAATGGGCTGCTGATGAAGCCGCCGATACCGCCAGCAAGCACAGAGAATCCAAGAGTTTTAAGGACGGAGATTTCTCCCGTTGGACCAGCGAGCCATTTCTTCTCCTCGGCCACTTGGAAGATTCCTAACCGCATACCATTCAATACCATTTGGTACCCCATCGCAGGTCCGAGACCGCCTTGCAGCCCCAAAATACCATCGGTCTTGGCGATGATGTAGAATGCGTGTACAACATTTCTATCAAAAAAAAAGAAAGAAAAAGAAAAATGATAGAGCACAGGAAAGTAAATCGCAAAGAAGTTTATGCATGCAACAGGAATGTGCACGCTAAAGTATTCATTCTTGGAATATTTTTTGCATGGTTGACGATGCCGTCAAACTTTTTTTTCTTCTTCTTTTTTAAGTTTTGCCTTGTGTAAAAAATCGTTTATGACTATCCAGTAAGATTAAATTCACTCCACATTTTGTTTTGACGTTCGTGGAACGATTGCATGTTAAGCGCTGATAGAGTTAGGTAAAAAACAACCACTTCGTTCGTGGTGTTTCAAAATTTTACTTTCGAAATAATTACTTACTATTGCAACATGATATTTTCAGAGAGTATTTTTGAAGAGTAGTCATAAGTGGGGATGATCGGTCGTCCTTCAAATAAATAAAATCCTACTTAATTGATGCGCAAAATCATGAATTAGAAAATATATGGTTTGTTATACTTTTCCCATCAACATACATTGTTGAAAATTTTGGAGTTAAATTTGTACCGCAGTCCGTGTAGTACCCAACAACTCCGAGTGATATTAATACGGAGCGAAATCTACTCTCCTTACGGAATGACTTACACTGACAGGGCCGGATTAAGGGGGTGGCGACATGGGCCGCATCCCATGGCGGAAAATCTAAGGGGCAGCAAATTTTGCGATTTTTTCAAATGTAGGTATAAAAAAATCGGATTTAGAAAAAAAAAATTACAAACGAGAAAAGGCTACAAAATCTCTCATTTCCTGAGAGTACAGTAATTTCTAATTTTGTCGTCTTTCAGTGAAACATGAGACAGCATCTTTAATTAGTCGAGTTAAGAGAAAAACCAAACACACAATTTGGCCTGGAACGGCGCGACTTAGAAAGAAATGATGACGAGGACTTGAGATGAAAAGGAGAAGCCCTCGGCGAAGCAATCGGCATGTAACACATATTAGCGCCTACAAGACTGCTCGAATACTTCACGCATTGCATTAAACACACTGCGGTTACTGTGGTCAGCGTGGTACGGATAGCGCCTGCAAGAATGCATGAATACTTCACGCATTGCGCCAAACACAGTGCGGTAAGCGTGAAACGCAAGGCGCCTACAAGACTGCGTGAATACTTCACGCATTGCGCCAAACACGGTGCGGTCGGCGCGGCGCGGTGGCGAAAGTTAAAATCATTAAACCAAATTTTGTTTTTGTTCCTTCATATTTTTTTCGTTCATTTTTTATGAATGGAAGGCCTTGTCCATTAGAGATAGGTTTACGGAACTTGACTTTCGCGCAAAGTTCCGTGACCTTTTGCTAGTAGTGTTGACAGGGCTTTCCCAACACGAGTAAACGCTTCTTCTGCACCCCTTCCCCACTGGCACGTTCACTTGATGGTTTTTATTGATGTTTCAAAACAAATGAGAAGAGGGTGGCAAAATACAGGCGCCCTATGGGCGGCAAGTAGAAAAATCCGGCCCTGTGCTCTGACACGGAGCGGAATTTACTCTTTTTGTGGTGTGTCATACGCTTTTATGATGCTAATTTCACTTCGCATTCTTATCACTCAACATTTTTTGGCACTTTATAGACTCCGTCACCGAATTTCACTTCTCGATTTTTAATAGTGTGGGTCAATATCTCTGCCGTGCTTACATACATGTACGGACGCTGCTTCAACACAAATTTTCAAAATTATCTGTAAAGACGTTAATAGCCTGAGTTGCTGAATGTCTTAAAATTATATTAACTAACTAACTAACTCTGTAAGTGACATATCGTCGCAATTTGATCTGGTATATTTGGAAGTTTACGGAAATGTTTCAAAACTTTTCGTGGAAGTGAAAATATTATCAGAAAGGTAACTTTGCAAAATTTGCATGTTCATTCAGTATTCTTCCTTAGCACGAATTCATTTTTTTTTTGGGGGGGGGGGGGATGGGGGTTCAAATGAAACGAACATCACGGACATTGCAACTGGAATGCTTGTTCGCTGCTCTCTGCTATTGACACTCACTTCACTAAACCATCAACTTAGGTCTAGTTTGCGATGAACTTAATCAATGCTAATCTATGCGGTTTTAGCTGAATGTCAGCTTACGGAAAACCTACGTTTGAAAATCAAACAGTTATGGCTCGTCGCTAGAAATAAAGAGGTTATGCGGGTACGGCTTTTCGTCCGTAGTGAATTTAATGACATCTTGTTAAGGGCACCCTCTCCCCACACGAAAAAAATAATATAGGAGAGCGGCAACGACTCTCCTATACTGCCGTGCTTAGGAAAAACGACATATGAACCTCTAGGCGTATAGTTGCCAAATTTCCTTCAGAAAATCTTGAATTTTCGGGAAAATTTGTAAATATTTTTCCTCCAATTTTTTAGATAATTTTGCTCGCAATTTCACGTAAAGTTTCTGAAATTTCCAAGAAAAATATTCATAACTTTCCTAAAAAATGAACATTTTATCGAAGGAAATTTAACAACTTTCGAATGTTCATACGGCGTTCTTCCCTAGCAAGGCAGAATACTGCCGTGCTGAGGAAAAACGCCGTATGAGCTTTGAATGTTGCCAAAGTTCCTCTCAGGTGCTATCTATTTATGTAGAAAGTTATGAATATTTTTCCTTGAAATATTCAAACTATTTAGTTCAAATTACGAATGAAAATCTCTGAAAAATCGGATGGAAAATATTTACAGACTTTCCCGAAAAATCGCGATTTGTCGAGGGAAAGGCAACGTCCAAAGGCTTATACAACGTTTTTCCCTGGCGTCGTCCCAATGTCATACGGCTTTATCTTCAATTGGGGGGGGGGGGGGGGATATTCTGCCTTGCTAAGGGAGAACGCCGTATGAGCCGTCAGACGTTGCCAAATTTCCTTCGATAAAACACAAATTTCCAGGTAAATTTATGAATATTTTTCCTCCAATTTTTCAGAAAATTTTGTTTACGTTTTCTCCCAAAGTATATCAAGGAAAAATATTCAAAGCGTTCCTCAAAAATAAACGTTTTATGGGAGGAAATTTGGCAACTCTCGAATGTTCATACGGCATTCTTCCTTATAGCAGGGCAGTATGGGTCCTTGGTTTAAAATGGATATAACCGGCGCACAGTGGATCGAGCCAATCAGAGAGATCGGACATGATATTTTTGACTAAAATTTCAAATTTTGATGTTAAATTCGTCAAATTTGAAATTTTTAGGGGTGCCTCTAAAAGAAAATTGCACGGGGAAACGAATGGAATCACTTTTAAAATCTCAAAGTTGTGTCTAAACGGAGTTATAAGCTTTTAAAGTTCCCAAATTTTGTCCGACCTCTTCTATTGACTTGATCCACTGTGCGGCGATGGGCAACAGTGTCGCTAATTTACGCGAATCGCCAATGAATATAAATTCTCTCTGCGTTCAGAACTTACCTGTAATGAACTTGATAGCAGCCCTTAGCTTTGAGCTCCCCTTGCAGCTGGAATCGGGTTTTCACGACTTCCATGGGGTTAGTGAAGAGCATGGCGGTGGAGGCCGCTGTGCCCCCGATTAAGAACTCCATGAGCAGAGGGAATATCGGCCATTCGCGAGGTAGGAGTCCGTTGACGAGTGCGAGGGCGGGAAATCGATCAAACTTGGCAAACTTGTCACACGTGTTACACCGCCGGCTAGACTGATTGTCCAAACGGAAGCGAGCTGCGAACAGACCAGTAAGTTGCAGAAATCGTTAGAACAATGAAAACGACGCACTAGCCCAAAATGTGACCAGGGCCGCCATAAGGGAGGGGGGGGATACTGGGTCCCTGGTGCCGGGACCTGTGCTACCCGCACTGGAAAAAAAAAATCCACAATGGATCTAGAGTCCAGACTCTTGAAAATATTGACAAGAAAAAGGACTCTTGATTCAATCAAATTTAAGCTTAAATCAAAAGGAAATCCGCTCAAATTAAGAGGCTTGGTTCTTGATTTAAGCTTAAATTTGATGGAATCAAGAGTATTTTTTCTTGTCGATGTTTTTAAGAGTCTGGACTCTAGATCCAATGTGGTTTTTTTTTCCAGTGCGTGACACATTACCTCGAATTTACATATAACCCTTGTCTCGTGAGGAAAAGTGCAAAATTTACCCTAAAAATTTCTTAAAATGTGAATACATTTTCAAAAACTCGCTGGAGCACTGTAGAATTGGACCACATTTTGCAATGAGGAACCACTATTACTGGCTCATTCCAGAAACAACATATATGCCATTGGTTTCCCTCTGCAGAAATGTGATTTTAAGGAAGTGCCTGAGATAGTGGTTCCATATTGCAAAATGTAATTCAATTCTTCTTACTTCTTTGAATATTTCTGTTTATTTTCAAGATCTTTAGTATATGTATGCGCACACCCTTATTAAAGAGTTATCCCGGTAGAAAGTTTCGGGAAGGGAAGCAACGAACCATTTTATAAAAGTGCCACATGGAACAACGTTACTAATGCCTCAACACTAGTAGCTCCTTCATTGTTAAAAGATACTTCCCAGCGTGGCCTCAGAGGCCGAATAGTTGCATCATTTAAAAACCCAGTCAACGGTGCGGCAGCACGCAGATTAACGAAAAACAATATTCGCCACATGTAATTCATTGATGACGCATTAGTAAAGAGGAAACCGCCGGAAGAAAATATACTATTAAACTCACCTGATACCGAAGCACTGTTAAGTTATAGTAAAATGCGCACCTGCAGTTAATTACAAAACTGAATTAAGAAAAACATCAGTCCCAATTTAAGTCCCTGTTGAGCTCCGAAATCTCATGGAAAAACACGAGGTAAAAAATGCCTATGAAAAAAATTGAAAGTTTTAAAAACATCGATACTTAGTTTTTCAATAACGTGTGCACACTAAATAAAACGGGAAAAGGAGCTGAGGGAAGAGTCAATCTTACGCGTTTTTTGCACGATCGTTACTGAACGCTGAGTGTTTTTATCACTCGCGAAAAAGCCGCAATTTTGATAGTTTCTTTTTTTCGCCACTAAATAAATATCAGCTCAACTTGTTACACGAAAAGCTAAATACGTGGCACGTGATTGGAATAAAATACTGCTCATTGAGATAAGAAATGAATTCGATTAATACCGTTTATTGCTGAGTTGCCGATCTCATCATTCAAAGTTCGTCTTTTCATTCGTTTATTTGTCTCGATGTGTTGATAGAGTGATAATTTGCCTCCTCGATATGACATCCATGGGCAAACTGTCTGTGAACTTGTCGAACTATCAACCACACGGCTCGAAAGAGTTCAAAAACACCTATCTCGGTTCTCAAGAATGGCCAATTTGAAGTTACACAATCAGTCCATTAATTACACCAATCAACTATACTATAGTCCATCTTCAAAAAGTGAAGATTACACCGTTAGAAGCAAATTGTAACGTTTAGCGAATACGATCAGACTTTAAATATTGAACTAAATACGCAGTCCACATTTTGGAAGGGAAAGACGGAGCAATGATATATTTACCAGATCTTTGTGCTACAGTTTTGCCTTTGCGGTTAAATCATATACATGTATTTAGGCTCGTGATGTTACAGATTTTCTGTCGAATATTTCATTTTTTAGAAAGACGAACGGTCGTCGCTTTCATTCCAAATTCCGTGCGATCCACTAGGATCGGTTTTTGAAAATTTCGCGCTTAAACGTAAAAATTAGATTTTCAACAGGAAAAAAGTAAAAAAAATCCAACAATTAAAGGGCAACTCATTAGAATAGGTTTAATGACTCTCGACAAACCATGCTCAAAGACTTAATTTTGTTGCAATATCGAGGGCCGGCAACGTTTTTATACATTTAAATCATTAGTTTTTTGGAAAATTGACAATGTCGCGATAATGATCAGTATTTGCTCACTTCATCAGCATAATAGAGGACGCTGAAAGTAAGTTAGGGTGTAAAGAAACAATCAATGCTTCATCTGTCGCATTCTACGGACCACTGAACGAATTTTATATTGTAACGCCTGGATCATGCAACTATTCGGGCTCCATGGATGTACGATTTGCATACACATGGAAGGGAAGGCGTTTTTATTTCAGACCCAACCGCCTGCGCCTCTCCAGCTGTGTTCAGTGGCGCGAGTAAATGAGAGGAGTCAAATCAGTCAGCCAAAATTTGGAAACATCAAAAGATCATATCATTGTTAGTACGGAACGTGGATGGTTTTTTTTTCTTTTTATTTTATTTTTTCCTTACTTTCATGCTCCCCTCGAGGGTAGAGGGGAAGTATTGTCAACAGCCCCCAAAAAAAAAAATTAATTAAAATTTCATGATTTCCAGGCGTTTTAAGGTACATAGAGTCCAAAAAACCATACTTGAAAAAATGCGTGTCCTTCCGCAAGGCGTACTTTTTTTCTTTTCTTTTTTTTTTAAAGGGAGCCTTCAATGGACCACTAGATAAGGTACGAATTTTAGCATTCTGATACATGTTTCTTAACCGAAATTTTACGTAAAACACGATGCACACAACGAAAATTACCGAAATTAACTCCTGACGAAGATATTTAATGATTCTTAATGCGTCAATTCAAACCACCCGCTCATGATAACTCAATGCTCTACGTGATTCATATCGCGCGCTAAACGTTATCATAACAGTCTCTGCGATATAAAAATCTGGCAACCTCAATCTTGACGCTTTGGCTCAGCTATAGCAAATTGCGTATAGTTTCAACCACGCATGGTGGGAAATGTTCATTGCTCGATTGAGAAGCTTGCTGAAACCGTTGTGGTGTGCGATTTGACTCACGTAGAGCTTTGAGTTTCTTATGAGCGGGCAGTTCAAATTCCTCGTAACCAATGTTAAATAAAAACGTTGATATCTTAGTTAGGAGTTAATTTCAGTAATTTTCAATGCAAGAATCGTGTTCTACGTTAAATTCTGGTTAAGAAACATGTATCAGAATACTTGAATTAGTACCTTGTCTACTGGTCCATTCTTCATTTATACTTCTAACTAAACCGAAGGTATGACAGCTGGAAGATTATTAGAGATCGTTATTACTAGTTGAAGGCAAGTATAATATTTCCAACCTAACTTGAGAATAATTTATCTACTAAAATGGTCGCAACTTGAGTTTCTTATTCCTATGGACGTTACGGTGAAAAGTAAGCATTACTCTCTAGGATATTCCACGTAGCGATGCTTGCTGATTTTGATTTTTCCTAAAACAAATAAAGTAGTGTATACTCTACTTTATTATTAGAATGTTCCAAGATCATTGCTTTGGCTAGGATTATTTACCAGTTTCAAAAGAATTAATCAATAATCCTGCTAGCTGCGGACAGTTTTTTTCAGGAGCGCAAATTTGAAAAGCGCGCCTTTTTGGAATGGTGAGTGGAGGGGAGGAGCCCGCGAAAGTTGCAAACCCATAACTGCCGGTTTTTGCGTTTGGCCCAGATATTCCAGACCAAATTCTCATCAAAGACCAAAATCTGTCATCGGTGTCAAACTCGCTCCTAATGTAAACTAAAACAAACGGCGACATAGTCCGGACATAAACAAAGCAGATCCATGGACCAAGAGAATAAATAAGGACCCCCAACTCCGGTTAGCGCTGACATCAGCGCTCCCTGGCAGAGGGTGTAGAGAACTAAACCGATGATTGGGTCTTCCTGTTTATATCTCCATGCACCACCTATTTAGGCTTATCACTCAGTAGTGCTCATAGAAGTTTCTAGATCCTCGTATCCTCGTGGTCGCCCTGCAGTTTTGAAGAGTTTAGTGTGAAAAGTTTCCCATTTTCATTTCAATCTTCGTCAGTCTTCGTGTACATAAACTGGTATTAACGTGAAGTGTTATTTCTAACCGTTTTACTCAGCAGCAACTGCTGTTGAGAAAGCCAAAGGAAGTGTGTATGTAGTGTGCATCAGGAATCAGGATTGTACTTTTAGCCGAAGGCGCCTCTCTGTTAAGTGAAATCTTTTTAGTGAGAAATAGTGTTGTACTGATAAAAATCAACTGAGTGTCACAAAATCAAAGATACTTGACTTCAAGCATTACCTTTAATTTGATTATTAGCAAGTCTCTTTGATTCTGCGTCAGAAGTTGACTGAATCATCTTTGCTCGTGTTTTGATAAGATACTTCAAATCAAAGTCTTTCGCATTGACCTCTGCAGAAGGTATGTATCTATACAATTTCATTAGTTTGCGAAAGTAAAATGTATTAAAGTATCTACACAAATAAATTAATCATAGATAAACAAAGAACATTGCATGGAATAACATACTATAGAGGTACGATCGTGGACCGCTGTGGCGTTAGTTCACCGCACCCTCTGCCAGGTTCGCTGCGAGCGCGCGTTAACGGTTTTTAACACAGGTTAGCATAGGGAGTTGGGAGTCCTTATTTATTCTCTTGGTCCATGGCAGATCTGGCAGATCTCGTCGAGATGTTCCAGACTAATTTTCTCAGCGTTATCGTTTCTTCACCTCGACAAAAGAACTTTCGTCCGCATCCATCTATCCATTTCGTTAAATCAGATATCAGTTACCGCGTTGATCTGTTCATTGTGGTTTCAAGTGAAATTGGAGCGAGATACTCCGGACTCCTAAAGTAAACAAAGCGGCCTGTACGGACCTTGTACCTACCGGTCGAGATGTTCCGGACTCATTTCTTCATTTACGTTTCTTTCTTCATCTCGACCAAAGAAGTTTCCTGCGCGTCTAAAGTAACATTTTCCGGTTCCATTGTTAGAGAAGAAACAAGCCATTTTGTAGTAAGTTAGGATAATATTTGTGTTGATTGAGTGGCATGAGCATTGGACTACCTGGCACCTGGTTGCGCCTTGCCATGAGCATTGGACTACCTGGCTGCGCCTTGCATGGCAGCCTCTATCTCAAGATGATGGGGCGAAAAACTTATTGGTTGATGTGCAAATCTGAATCCTAAATCTCCAGTAACGGTAGTTGTGAAAACTAGATGGATGTACAATGATAGGTATACCTTGCTCCTCACTTACTTTCTTATGGATGTTCTCTGGTCTCTCCAAGGTTCTGGTTTTGCGTTGCGTTGAAGCCAATGCTTCAAGTGTAGCTATAACAACCAAACTTCGGAGATACCAATTAACAATCCTAGCAGTCACCAAATTCTCCAGCAAACCTGCATAGTTGTCTATTAGCAGCTGAAGAAACAATGGAAACCGTATTTACCTATGACAACAAAATTTTTTCCATCGGAACTCTGACAGTAAGTATGAGGGGGAACTATCACCTTTAAGGCATGTTTCTCCATGAATTTTCTTGTTGTTTGGCACTAAACTAAGTAGAACTCAAGGAAAATGAAGCAAGACTTTACAAGTAACCATGTGAGGTTCGTCTGCTGAAAAAATAGAATAAGGTTAAAATTCCTATAGAACATCACCAAGATGGTTCTGCCACAAGTGGCTCATTTTTTAAGGCACGGATCAAATACTGAGGTTACGTATAATTCTTACGGTGCCTACCAAATTATAGGAAAGAAACATTGTCCTGTAATAATAATGGCATGGAATGGTTGGCTCTAATTGGTAACTTGACCATCCCCAATAAGTTATCGAGAGAATTTACTTCTTAAAAGATCCTTTACGATAAAAGCCAAGTAAATATGCAGATAAAGGTCCCATGTGATATGTGAAGAGTATTCAAAGGGAAGGGATGAAATGTTCAAAAGGTAACGTCCAAACTTGCCTAGTTGTAGGCTCTAGGCACAAATTGGACAAGGTGCCGCTAAACAATGACTAAATGAATTTTTTATTGTTATTAATTACGGAAAAGAGGAAGGGAGAATCAGGCCGAATGCCAATGCCAGCCAAAATTTGAAAAATGTAGGGTGGGTAGGGTAGGGTGGTGTAGGTGTAGGAGCCGAACCACCTTCGAGATTACTGAAGCCCTTTCCACACGTTGCAAGTTTTGCTGCAAGTGAGCCGAAAGTGGGAGTCATCACTCATCGATGATGCTGAAATTTGCGTCCCGTCCGCAAATTTCACGACCATCGATGAGTGATGACTCCCACTTTCGGCTCACTTGCATCAAAACTTGCAACGTGTGGAAAGGGCTTAAGATTACGGGCGGCGAGCGGCAACCTGATTGGCTACGAAGATTGCCGAGTACGGCCGAAGGCCTACTCGCCGCTTGGTAGGTGTTGACGGCGGTTTGACAAACAGCAGTTTTTGGTGAAATGTGGTCCGGAATATCTGGGCCAATCTGTTCACTCCATAACTGCCACTGCCATAACCTCACTTTTTTTGTGTGATGTAAACAAATTCCAAAAATTGAACGCATGCAGACCATCGCGAAATTGAACAATTTATTTTCTCCCTCTCGTACCGGTGTGTATCAATTATTAGATAATCAGATCGCTGAAAAATCTGTTTTTATCGAATGTCAAGAAGATTTTCGATTCCAAATGCAACTGTAAGTTGATCAACTTGGTTAGTCAGAAGAATAAAGGTTATCCTTGGATTACCCTTTGTTAGAGCTCAACATGTCCAAGGTATATACTGATTTTTTACTGATCCTCTCTCTGTCTTCTTTTTTTGATTTATCAACAAGTATTTCCTCTTAGTGGATGTACTCTTAAATATCCCTAGACCAGGCGAACGCCAGGTGACCCTGACATTTTGGTTTCCCACAATCAAACCCTTCACACATGTACAAAAGGTTAAATCATTGTATATACTTCAATAATCGGATCATTGATGGAACGTTATCACTAGTCAGTGAAGCCAGACTAAACTCTCACACTTGAATATACGTGTGTGATTGCAGAATGGTCGAGTTATTAAAATATTTTTAGTTTTTATTTTCAACCCAGCTATACTGTCTGGCTAATAATATGCTGATCTTTTTTACTTTTGCTATGAATCGGCCCTATTGACTTTTCAGCACCTAAATAATTATCGTAACTCATTTAAGACTTTCAAAAAACATCTGAATTTATCCTTGGAGTAGATTTGGAATCTGGTACATTGTTGATGTCACTGTTTAGACGACAATGTAAAAGATTTGCAAGGAATAGCTGTATATCGACGGTGAAACTGCCAGACCACATATCTTGTTTGCCACGCTGCAGACTTCTTGTCATTCTTTATTTTTCAATGAAAAACCACTCAACATCAGTTCTGGAAAACTTCTTTACTTACCTTTTCTTCTTTGTGCAAAGATAACTCTGTGAAAACTTCAAGGAATGATATTGACTCATTCTCCTTCAATTAATGAAATAGGAGTGGAGATTTTTAAACACCGCAAATGAGATACGTGGTCTGGTAGTTTCATCGTTGGTATGTTAAACATAGAATCAGTCGTTCATGTCAAACACCCTGGTAGAATTTTTGAGTGCGGCAGATCTGCTGTTTTTATTTTTGCATTGATATAACATGTTCTAAGTTCAGGGTAGCTTGTCAGCTATTTAAGGAATGCTAGGTCTCATTGTCAGCTTCAGAGCAATCAAGTTTGGGAAATGGCTCATAGGTGCCCATGAGCCTTTGTCGGCCTCCTGTGGTGTAGTGGTTGTAGCGCTGGCCCTATGACCAAGAGGTCCCGGGTTCGATTCCCGGCCAGGTGATCTGAGTTTGATGGTCTCAGGCAATGGTCACCTGGGGCTGGGGTAATAAGCGTGGGATTAGCCAATAGGCTATTTGCATTCGGCAAAAAAAAAAAAAAAAAAAAAAAAAAAAAAAAAAAAAATAGCAGATACAGGGTGAATGTGTAGTTTCCTCTTGCCTAAAATGTTAGTGGAGATACATATTTTGTAGAAAGGCACCACAAGCTGACTCCTGCTGGATCACGGGGTATCTACCGAAGAGTTCTCATCTGCACTTTTTTTAAGACAGCACAAACTTGAATATATTAAATAGCTGCCAGTCCATCCATCCTCTGTGAGCAGAAGTTAATTCTCAACTCTGTCGTTAATCCTTATGGATTATGAAGGGGGGGGGGATGCAAACTTCCTATTGAACTTACAAAACATAGTTTGCCCTAATCAGGACTAAGTGAAGAAGGCATCGCTTTTTGAGATACTCTGTCAATTTTACTTGCTTTTCTCTTGGTCCCTTTCATTTATGTAAATGCCTGCCTAAATCTTCCAATCCAAATTTTGTTTTCAGGACATCCGGTCCTTTTTCAATGCCAGTCCTAAAGCTGCCACAAGTAAACTATCAAGTAAAACCAATGGTATCGCAAATACAAAGAAGAAGAAACGGGCTGTAATTGAATCAGACTCGGACGAAGAAGCACCTCCAATTGTTGTCAAGAAACCCAAGCAAAATGGTAGTTGTAACTCAAATTTTCCTCGTTTGTTGCCAAAATCTCTAGTTTCAAGCAGAGCAAAGCTTTCATTTTGCTTTTATGAACAAATATAAGTCTTGCAAATGAAGTAGTTGAAATACTTTGCAAAATGAAGGAGATGATTGGACCCCTCTTTGCATTGCAGGTCATCAAGGACATTTTTTTTTTTTTTTTTTAAAGATAACGAAATATTTATTAATTTCGTTACTAAGGTGGAACTATTATTGGATAGATAATGGCCGAAGGCCTAAGAATACATGTTAAGATCATCAAGGACATTTGTAAAAGTATTTCTCAGAGAATACACTGAAGTTCTGAAAATTTGAAGGAAAATTGGGGTTTTATTTTCATTTCAAAGCATGTATTCCTCTGTTGAAGCTCTCACAGTGGGTAGTTTTTGAAATGTAGAATATATTCGAAGGTATTCTAGGTAGGTAACAGTTGTAAGAAAAATTTTCCAAAGTTTATGAGAAAATCCTGAAATATTCAAAATTCACACCGTCAAGATCGTGAAACTATAAAAGCCTGTATCTGGGTTTGTGATGTTACAGATTTCCTGTCTCATTTTTCTGTTTGAAAAGATGATTGACTATCATCATCTCGTAACAGACTTAGTAAACAAATGTTGCAAGTTTGGGTCTGAAAGTGGCCTTTTTAACCATCCCACATTCCTTGTCAAATATCATGGAATGTACCAAAATTCATCAGGGAATTTCTTTTTATTCTGTGGCAACCTTTTCCCACAATTTTTCATTATTTTTCTGTGTCCTTTTAAAAATATTCTCTGAAAATTTAACTAAATATGTTCAGTATCACTCAAAAGAATGGAGCAGGAGCAAGAATATTCAATGTTAATTATGTATGCATTTTTATTATTATAGTGTCATCTATGTGTTTCTTTCAATGCGTAATGTACACCATCTAAAAAGGTAATTTGTTTCCTTCACAGAAGTCAAAAAGAAAACCGAGACTACTTCAAAGTATTTTCCAGCAAATGCAAAAGATGTCTTTGGTAGCGATCCAGTAAAACGAGTTTCTAGGAGCCCTGTCAAGAAGAAAGCGAGGACGGATGAGTTGAAGATCGAAGAGCATGATGATTCCGATTTTGAAGCTGCCCTTCTACAGTTAGATGTAGAGCAAGAGGAGTATAATCAACTATTGAAAACAAGCAGCAGTCACAAAAATGGTGAATCATCAAAGACTGCATCACCAGAAAAATCCAAGGAATCACCAGAAAAATCCAAGAAATCACCTTCTAAACCGGAGGAATCACCTTCTAAATCTATTGTCAGGAAGGATGAACAGAAAAAGGAATCGCCGAGTAAAACTGATTCACCAAAACGAGAGTCTAGCCGTATCCGTAATAAGTCTGAATGTTCTACAAAGGAGTCACCCATTAAAAAAGAGTCCCCACCAAAGAAGAGAGGCTCTTTGAAAAAGGAAGTGATTTCCGAAGATGAGGAAGAGGACAACAGAAAAGTGTCTCCAGCTAAGAGAAACTCCCCTACTAAGAAAGAAACTTTGAAGGAGAGTCCTATGAAGAAGTTAGAAGTGCCTAAAGTTTCGTCTGAGTCAAAAGTCAGATCGAAATTACAAGCTTTTGCTAAAACTGGATCAAAATCTGTTTCAGAAGTAAGTATAGAGGTTAATGAATTGTCAATTTTTTTTTTGGACGTTCATATTTTTGTTCGCGAAAAAAAAGTAATGATTTTGGGTAATCAAGTTTTTTACAAAAATAGAGAGAAATTTCATCTTGGAAGAAAAGGTCCCTTTTCACAGATCCGGTCGCATATGTATGATTCTTATTTACCTTATCTTTTCAAGCTAGATTTCTAAAACGCAGCACAAAAATTGACAAATTTGGACTGTGTGTTAAAGATATTCTCTGAAATTTTACATGTGAATCTGTGTGTTAATTTCCAAGTAATTGTTTGTATTTGCTAACAAAATGGTCATTTATATTATTATCAGATCAACCAAATCATTATAATTTTAGTAAGTAGAAAGTATGAAAAGAAATCTTCTTTCTAGGTCCTAAAAGCAACTTCTCTGAAATATATTTTCCCATGATTCAGTAGTTTTATTTTTGTGCTGAGTTTTAGAAATCTAGCTTGAAAAGAGAAGGTAAATAAGAATCATACATTTGTGACCGGATCTGTGAAAAAGGACTTTTCTTCCAAGATAAAATTTCCCTTTATTTTTGTAAAAAACTTTAACCTTATTTTTCTAAAATGTAACAGTTTTTATCTCAGAGCTTCAGAATGCCTATCTCTTTCAATTTTTGAGCTTTTAGGGTCAAATGTGCGCCGAAATTTCCAGATTTTCTCTCTTTATGCACTTGCAAAAAGTCATGAAAAATTTTCTTTCTCAGGAGATGGGGTCTCTTTTCTCAGCTTTGGTCACTTTTGATACTGCTGCAAGCAAAAAATAATTCATCGATAATGTCCCCTTGCCAAAGCACTCAAATATCACTAAAACTCAAATGAAAAGTCATATTTTGTTCAAAATGAAAAAATGGTTTCTGTTTTTTTTCTTGTTTCTTTTGCGTCATTCTGAACAGCCAATGAGAAAGCAAATTCCAATTTTAGGTTAGAAAGCAGCGTTGTCTTGGGCAACAACATAAAAACGACTCGCCTCTGAGCTTGTTGCAGTTGTTGTACAACAATGTTGCTGTAGGGGTTCCCAAATTTTGCGCGTGAAAATAAGCCCCGCCCCCACAACGCAGAACAACTTCGAACAAAATGCGATTGTTGCTTGTTTTCCCAACATGTTGCGAGTGTTGCCTCCGAACAAAATATGACTATAGTATCTTAAAGTTGTTTTCTGAAACTCCTCTAAAATTTACGGAAATGACTACTTTACTCATAAATTATTTGTAATGTTAAGTTTACTTTCATTTCCAGCCCGAAGCAAAGAGGGTCAAGGTAGAGGAGGAGAAGCAGTCTTCAATCAAGAAAGAAACACTCCTGTCTTCGTCAGAAACACCGAGCTCTCAAAGCTCCGGTTATGAAAGTTCAGGCTCTATCAGTTCTGGCACTCAACCTAGCTCTTCAAACCCTAGCACAGTACCTACCCCTGTGCCTATCAATGATCAGTTGTGGGTGGAAAAGTACAAGCCACAATCAGTAAAGAACATTGTCGGCCAGCAAGGACCCAAAAGTTGTGTTGCTAAACTTATGAATTGGCTGCAAAATTGGCACAAGAATCAGTTTGGTGGGAGGAAACTTGTCCGTCCGAGTAAGTTCCTTTCTGACTGACCCCGAAAAGTTCTCCAATATCCCAAGTAGCATTTCTCAACGGAAAAATCTCTATATATTGCGATTTAATCGGCGATAAAATCGCCAGGATCATCAACATCTGAGCGATTATCCGCGATCTTATCGCGATAAAATGGCACTTTTATCGCCCGACAATTTATTGCGATATTTTCGAAATAAAAATCGCGATAAATGGCGATTTAATCTCGATTATATTGACAAAAATTGATCACGATTTTATCGAACTAAAAATTGCGATTTGTAGCGATTTAATTGCCATGTATCGCAATTTTCAGTGCGATAGTATCTCGATATATTGCCACCGATATAATTGCGATAACCAAGCGATTAAATCATCATTTATTGCGATCACCGCTACTTTGGATACTGTAGTCAACAAACTCTCTCATTGGTCATATTCAGATATGTTTGGACTAAATTTTACCATCTAAAGTTTACTCCTCTCAAAGCTGTCCGCTCAGGGAGGAATAATCAAGTTTCAAGATGGTTTTCACAATTTAGGAATCAGAAATTACTCTCTTTTAGCTCTGCTTTGATGATGATTGGAAGCAGTGTTCCGCCTTCCCTCTAAAGTTTTAGGAGCCACCTTGGCCGGAAAGCCTAATTTTTAGGAGCCGAATTAAATTTTTGCATACGGGCCACCCTGATTGCAAGTTCAATCAATCAATTTTTTTTTTTTTTTTTAGGCGCCTTAATGGCCCAGTCCCCCTCAATTCTCAGGTGCCAAGACCCGATTTTTAGGCGCATTTGGCGCATGACGCCCGAGGAAGGCAGAACACTGATTGGAAGGCCACAAAAGAGCACAATAAAGATACAAAAATCAGGGATGAGTCTCTTCATGGTCGTAAGATTTTTGTAAAATTTAATCAAAACTGATTGTGAGATGTTGATTTCCTCACCTTCCGAAGCTAAAATTCGAATGAGTACTTCAAGGCCAGTCTAGCTGCGCATCATGTTGACTTTCTGTCTTGTTTAATTTTTTCTAAGGACAAGACAACACTTTGCAATAAGGAACGATTTTTATTGTTCGTTAAGATGTTTTTGTTTGCTGCTTTCTACTCAGTCTGTACCTATATCTGCTAACACTATGATCATCAAAAGTGATGGATTAGAATTTCGGAACCTTGTCTTTTGATGTGGGATAATTGATAGAATTTATTTTCTTTACAGGTCCTTGGGCTAAAGATGATGATGGTGCCTATTTCAAAGCTGCACTCTTGTCTGGGAGACCCGGTGTAGGTGAGTGCGGTGGTTATCTGACAATTAAAAAATGTGTCAATAGAATGTCCTTGTTTAGGTTTTCTCTCTTAATATTTATTTCTTTTAAAAGTCATCAGTGCAGTCAAAGTAACTGCCCCTTTCAGCATTTTTATAAAGTTGTTTTACATATTGCCAAGTTTTAATAAACAAGAAATCTATGGAAATTTTGCATGTTCTCCATCTATTACCGTGCAACTTATCAATAAGCAAGCTGTGAGTATGACTTGCGCAGCAGTAACATGTCAGCTCAACCACTCTGTGGAGGCTGGAGGACCATGTTTTCGCCAATTCGCAATAATTGATGGAGATGCATGTTGGCTATAAATATCCCTGATGACCAATGATACAACCCATAACAAACTTTACAGGTTGCATAAAGTTTGAAAGTAATTTTTTACTGGAGCGTGCTCCTTCAAGTTACTATAATTTAACCTCATTTAAATGCTTTGAATGCTCAGAATTATGATAGAGTTGGGTGGGCTGAAGTCATTTTTAAGTCTCTGAAATTAGCAAGAACCGAGTTCATTTTTTAAAATATCAGTGTGGTGCTGAGGAGTCTTATCAATTTATGATCAATTACTTTCGATTACCTTCACTGCTTGTTTGTACTGCTATTTTATATTGAAAATATAATTTGCATTTCCTTTTGAATAATCACTAATCATACATTTTTAGGCAAAGCATTATTTTCAATTAGTCTGCGTATTTCTCTCTTTCGGAAATACATAAAAATTTCAAATGAAAAGAACTATCTCACAACAGTATATTCATTTCATCTTTTTTCAGGTAAAACAACAACAGCTCACTTGGTATGCAAAGAACTTGGTTTTGATATGGTTGAGTTCAATGCTTCAGATACTCGTTCCAAAAGGCTTTTGCATGAGGAAGTTACCGAATTACTCTCCAGCAAATCTTTAAATCCATATTTCTCAGGTAACAATATATGCCTTTTTAATACTGTTTTATCAATTAAAACAGGTTCTCTGAGGGTGTAAAGAGCATAATATTTGGAGATGCCTGAAACGCAATGTCTCTACCAAACAGGGAAATTTTGGAGGCACAGATAGCTCAAATCATAAAGTTTAAAAACAACAACTAGTTGCTGAGATTTCATGCAATAAACATAGAAAAAGAACACAAATAAAAAGTTAAAACAACGAAATAGAAAAATGTACGAGTTTAACTGTCAAAAATTATTCCAGAACAACTACGAAACAGACAACTGAAACTCAAGAAAACTTCAGATAGTTCTTTAAGACTTGACTCGGTGGAACAGGATTTAGGCTGCAATTATTGCTGGTCTGGAAATGCTGGTAGTCCAAGAGAGGCCGATTTAACATTGTTGAAAGTTACTTTGAGGGCATGAGCTCTCATAAGCTCTTAAATAAATTGAGTCTCTCAGTTTGAAAACGACCCATCTTGGAATAATGACATTTTTCAGGAGACAATAGAAACTGCCAAACAGCCAGAAAACGAGTGTTCCGATGCACGGAAATGAACATCGTAAAAAATCTGAGTTGGGTCGTTTTTTAACCGAGAGATTCAATTGTACATAGATAACTTCTAAAAATTTAGCTCCTTGGCCAAGGTGGCTCATAATATCCAGAAAAAGGCAAAAATCATTTTCAGAAATAACTTTTCTATCTCTTTGCAGGTGGCAAGGCTGTTACAAGTAAACATTGCTTAGTCATGGATGAGGTGGACGGAATGGCAGGAAATGAGGATCGTGGAGGCATGCAAGAACTGATCCAGCTTATCAAAACATCTAAAGTTCCTATTATTTGTATGTGTAACGACAGAAGTCACCCAAAAATGCGGAGTCTCCTCAACTATTGTTTTGATCTCAGCTTCTCCAGGCCTCGAATTGAGCAACTGCGGGTAAGGATGAAACCTTGATGGATTTTTTCTTTCCTGCGAAAATTACTCGTAGGACTTTGCAGGTTTTCACTAATTTTGTTTTTTATGTTTTGAAGACTTTGTATCAATCATCCTCACTCAATGAAAACTTTATGCAACCGTAAGAAATTAAGGACTGTCGTAAAAACTTAACAATTTTTGCTCTGTGCATGTAAACAGGGGATATTGTAATTTTTTTTGTTCTTAAAGTCTCCTTTAATTTCTTGTAGAAAGAATTTTTATACCCACTATCTTTGGAAAGAATAGTATTTTTGTATTAAACAAACCTAACTCGCTGAAAGATAATTTTTTTGTACACATAACTCCATAGCCCTGTGTAAACTTGAAGAACCTGTGATGTATTGACTAGCATCATTTAGCACGATCAAAAAATTTAATGAAAAAGTCAGGGTCCAAATAGCACAAGACATCATCTGCAATTATCGAGGAATCCACTATAATTTTTCAGAATGTGCTGGGTTTTTGAAATCAGCTGTCTCTGTCCTATCAAATTTTTTTATTTGATTTGCAATTTGTATATAGATATATTGCGTAGATCGCCACCAAAAAAAAGACAAAAAATCTATCCGTGCCTACAATTTTTGGGACCTGTTCACAATTTGATCTAGACCAGCTGGTTCTGTAATCGAGAACTATTTGCACATTTTGAAAGATGATTTTCTTTCAACTCTTGTTGTTTGTATGTAGTTTGCTCCAGGTTTTGGACTCAGATTGCTGTATAGATTTCTTCTTATCTGGCAACTTAAATTTTATATATTTAAGAAAAAAATGTTATATTCCAGAATAATTAATTTTCCATTTTTACCTAATTTTCAGGGTGCCATGATGTCAATTTGCTTCAAGGAAAAGTTAAAACTCCCGAAAGATGTCCTCGATAATATCATAACCAATTGCGAGCAGGATATCCGATTGATTTTGAATCACCTTTCCATGCTTGCTGCAAACAATTTAACAGACATAGAAGCCATCAAAAAACACACAAAACTAGTAAGTTTTTCTAAGTTTTCAAAATGCCTTATCCTTTCACCAGGTTCAGAAACTTCACATGTTTGTAAGTTTATACATTAGTGATTCATTTGAACATTTAAATTAAAAGACTCGATTACTCAAAAACCCTCTGGTGTGAATTTGGTTAAAAAGGAACAATGATTTGTGCTAACATTCTATGAAGTCGATAATTAACCAAATGTAAAAATGAATTCATCAAATCAACTTATAATTGGGCTTCATTTTGCAATTAGGAACTACAGTTTCTGGCTCATCCTTAAAAACACGTATGTGCGTAGGGAAACCAATAGCACGTACATTGTTTCTAAGCTTAGCCAGGATTTGTAGTCCCAAATCGCAAAATGTGATCGAATTGAACCTTTCCCCCAAAGAAGAAAGTCCAAAGTGACCATAAAGTATATTTATTTTTTTGTGTGTCTTAATAGAATTGCTTAGCTCTATCTGCATTTGAATATCAGACTCAATTGGTCATCAATTAGCGAATGGGATCTATTTCTAAGAAAGGTTTTGAAGAACAAAATCTCTATACTTTTGCAAGCGCAGACTTACTATTTTTATTCTCTATTCCTTGCTTGCTCTCAATTGTGTCCTCCAGCTGAAATCAGCTGATAATTTGTGGCTCTGTCAATGAAGTCTCGTAGCACCTTGATACTTGGCTGCAATTCGTTTTTTCCATAGCTGTCTTTCTAACGTTTAGTCTACATTATTACTTGTTGCTTTTCAATAATTTTATTTTAGATAGTTCCCCTCTGCAAAGAAACATCAAACTGAAAATGAGTCTCTTAAAAATATTTGGATCGAATTTTTACTTTATACATTAACCGCTATGTTTACTTACATTTTTCCAGGGACCATGGGATGTTTTACGGAAGGTGTTCTCTGCTGCTGATCACAAAACGATGAGCATTTACGATAAAAGTGACTTGTTCTTTCATGATTATAGTATAGCTCCATTGTTTGTGCAAGAAAATTATCTAAGCGTCGTCCCAAATATACCAGACTCGTAAGTTTTTCTTCCGGTGTACCTCTTTGTGATTAAATTACTTATGGTTGCCCCAAGGGTTCCAAAGAAAAGTTCAAGGGATCTCAGCAACAGAGTAATTTCGCGAAAAAACCAAACTATTTATTTAAGAAAATTGACTTAAGTGTGATCTAAATCAAAGAGAAGAATTTTATGACCAAAGAAACTAATTTTTTATCATCTCATAATCTCCGGAAACCATAAGTAATTTTTCTTTTTGAAGAGACAGAATTTTATTATCAACCTAATATCAGGTATTGTTTGCAATCTTTTTTTACTTTTGGGAGCGTTTGAAGTTGTATGATTGTTGAATGTTTTGGGAAAGTTTTGATCATTAATGCGCGTGGTTTTGTGTTTGTGGCTGTACGATCTTTCATCGTTGGAAGAAAGTTTTGATCCGTATCATGAGTATCTCTGATGTGTTTTGTTTCACTGAGTAAGGGATGTTGTAGTGATATTGAAGTAGGTTAAGTTTGATCAAGTCATATCATTCTTGATGGATCTCTTTTCTGTTGAAAATCAGAGCAAAAAAAAGCAAGCGAATGGCGCTGTTTGCAGATGCAGCTGAAAGTATCAGTTACGGTGATCTAACTGATAAAATTTTAAGATCCACCAACAGCTGGAGTCTATTACCAACGCAGGTTAGTAATCACTTCTTTATTTTTACGTTGCGAATTTAATTATTTTCTCTATAAACTGTATAATTTTAATTGGTGCTAAGGAAAAGGAAGCAAGCAGATGATGCTTAAAGAAATGTAATTTAAAGCTCCAGAAAAATCATTGAAAAAAAATCACCTATTTTCAATCGACAGCAAGTTATTTTCTCAGAAACTTTTTTAGAAGGGGCCGATCATAGAATTTTTATATCGGCACGAAAATTTGGCAGAAAAATTTATTTAGCCAATTCCAGTGGTTGCGTTATACCAGACATATAACTTGCATCAGTTTGCCACTCAATTTTTTATCAATTTGAATTGTTTTTACAGCTAAAAATCAGCCTGTGGCAGCTCAAATGTCCTGCCTTTTCAGCGTTCTAATATTTTAGCCCTTTTTAACCAACTCTTTCATTTTGATTCTCTCTGGTTTAAAATAGACTTCACTTGGCTCTTGAGAGATGATGTAGAAATGACTTTAAAAGAAAATCAAACCTGAAAAATAATTATTTTCTTTTCATTTTTATTGTTTTATGCCTATTTCTATCTCCATTTTTAGGCCATGTTTGCGAGTGTAATTCCTGGGACCGTTCTTGAAGGGTACATTGGAAACAAGATTAATTTCCCAGCTTGGCTAGGAAAAAATTCTCGAAGGAATAAACTCGATAGATTTTTGCAAGAGATCCATCAACACACAAGATTGAGGTATGTATCACTTTTATTTTTCAATTTTTTTGGACAAATGGACCGAGTTCAACAGAAAGGAACCAAGCTACATCAGCTATTGCCAAGTTTAACTGGGCAATTAAATTTTTTACAGGAGAACGTTTGTTCGGATTAGAGTCCCTTTATACTGAGAGTCAAGACAATTCGACTCATGGATGTCACAAACGGGAATAAAGATTACAGAAATTGAACGTTTTTCGTAATCTTTGATTGGCCCATTCTCAAATGCCTTTCTCCGTTCCTCCTCTCATTCCGTTTGTTCCTTGCCGAACCCGTAATTCCCTGGTCCATTCCAGATTATAATCTTTGCAATTGGTGAAAATGTAATCTTTATTCCCGTTTGTGACACTGTGGAGGCCTAAAATACGGAAACCAATCAGAAATGGATTCAAATTGTCTTGACTCTCAGTATAAAGGGACTCTAGTTCGGATTTCTTTGAAAATTTTAAGAAATTTGCTTCGTACCATGGAGAATTTTCACTGAAATTTGCACGACAATCTGCACAACCATTTTCATGTAAAAAATTAAATTGCCCCATTAAATTTGGCAACAGCTGATGTGGCTTGGTTCCTTTCTGTTTAACGTGGTCCAAATGTGATTATGTATTGTACTTAGATCTTGTTGAGTTACTATTTTAGAAATCTGTCATTATTTACCTTATTCCAAGTGTTTCCAGGAGTTGCAAAGTGTTCGTTCAGGTTTTTGAAAAATTAATTTTGCTCCTTTTGAATTTTCAGGGTCTCAGGCAGCAAGCAAGCAATAAATCTTGATTACCTTGTTCCTCTACGAGATCTAATCTTGCAGCCTTTGATCAAAAACGGCACTGAAGGAGTTCCGCAAGCCCTGGCTGCTTTGCAAAATTACGATTTAGTCAAAGAAGATCTAGAAAGTCTATTAGAATTGAGTCAATGGCCTGATAAAAAAGATCCCATGTCTCTCATTGAAAGCAAAGTAAGTATCAAGTATAATAATACCTATGCCATTTGTGGAATATTCGATGTATCAATTTACGATGGTTTGAACCAAAACAATAGATAATAGCCTCATGTCCAAATTTCAGATTCCAAAATTGTTTGTTTATTAACTTTAAGTTTTTTTACCCTTCTCTCTGTGCAAACCTGGGCGCTGGGGACTGAAGGAAACTGTGCAAGGACGCAAGAAATAGATGTGAAAGTTTTGAATTCTAGATCACGTGATTCAAATGCTTGTACTTTGCCACGTTGTGGTACTCTAGACAGATTTTCTTATTTTCATGTATGCTCTTGGTTATTTCCTCCTTCTTTTTTAAATATTTTTAACCTGTTGCCATCGTTTTTCCAGACAAAAGCAGCATTGACTCGTGCGTACAACAAAACAGGACCTGCATGTCCCTACGCAATACCGAGCGTTAAAAAAGGCTCAAAGAGAGGCCCGAGTGATGAAACAGATGAGCTAGGTATCGAAGATGGAGACGCTGAAGGAGATGACCCTGATGATGAGGAAGATGATAATCTTGATGATGGAATGATTGTCGTCAAGAAAACCGCCAACAAAGGTGGGGCTTCCTCGTCGAAAGGAGCATCTACTTCAAAGGGGGCTTCTACATCGAGAGGAGCACCAAAAGCTGGTGCACGCGGAGGAGGAAGAGGAGGAAAACGAGGGAAAAAGTAAAAATTTTGAATGAAGAACTCGTATCTTAGGATGTTAAGTAGCCATTAACTAACTGCAAAACAAATTTTGAGGATCTTCTGAAGAAAGAATTTCTATTTTAGTCATTTTACCTTTCATAGCATTCTTTTTTGTATTTTATTCTGACAGTATCTTCATAAAATCACAGTATAAACAAAGTTTCAACCTCACTCTTACTCATAAAAATTAATTCACCAAAAAACAGGGAAAGAAAGCTTATGCAGAGCAGTTGATAAAATTTTAAAATATGGACAGTAGAAGGGAATTTTGAAGTTTAATGCTAGAGAAGTAGATCTCTTAGCTAAATTTCTTCAGAGCCATTTATTTTTGAGGAAAGTCGCTGTATGTTGTCAGCTGTGAAAACTGAAGGAAAAAACCATGGTTTTCAACTTTTTCAAGTTTTAAAATGCTGCTCATTAAAAAGAGATCTCTACAAATTGAACCATCTTTTTTTAAAAAGGAGGGTATCCTGAAAACTCAACCTGTGAAGTTTAGTGTAAATCAGGTCAAATTTTCCTTCTGCTCAAAAAAATTGTTTTCAACGCAAAATCTTCACTTCTCTAGGAAATTGAGAATTAAAGTTGTATGGCGATTAGCCGCTTCTTTTTGTTTTCTGTAAAAAAAATAATAAATTTGCTAAACAGATTTATTCTGAGTTGAAGTTTTATTAAAATTCTTTAAGAAGATTTAGTTTTTTTACTCACGGTTGTCAGTCAAAAGATGCTGAAGTGTAGCGAAGTCTGACTGTATGAGGCATATTTGCAAATTTAAATATTGAAGCCAAACACTCAGGTTCAAAATTGTAAATTTTGTAAAAATTTATTATATTCCCTAATTTATTTATTCAGCAGCGCGGACCTGCGTTAATACCGGTGTTTTATTTTTTTAACATTGTTATTAGACATGTAAGTGTCAATATGACAAATCCTGTGATCACTCTCATTAAATTAAGCTCTTTCCTCAGGAATGCATTTTATATTTCTATAATGGATCAGTAGACGACAAGCAAAATTAGGCACCACCATACATGTTTCCTGATCAACATTTTATGTAACTTATGATGGAAGCACTTAAACTTTCCATCTTAAAACTCATAAGTTAGCAAATAGTGGTTTTTTGTCTATATTAATTCACACCGCTCAACATTCCATGTAAAATATGATGGATAAGTCAAATTGAGCACTAGAGTAATTTCGTTGTACTTTATGATGGAAAAATTTTCCCGTGTATCAACTCTTTTTTTTTTGAAAAAGATGAAGATATATTTTTATCAGAATAGGAAGGAAATTTATGTGAAACCAAGATCTAGTAATTTGCCTACGCGTAGGTCGATTTAATTACCGAATTTGGCCCTTGTTGATTATGGGTTTTTTTTTCCAGCTTTGAATCAGCTTTTCCGAGTTTGAATTTTCTGTTTATGATGTAAATTACCAACGTTATTTCAATAATGAATGACAATTGTTTTTTCATATGTTCAACATGTTTTGCGTATAATTTGGATGCGAAAATATGCTCTTTAGTGCTTAGTTCCACACCCTGTCCAGAGGTCCATTAGCTTTTTCTTAGCTTGTTATATTTATGTAAGTTCCAATTTTCATCTCAAAATCTTCGTACACCTCAGAAGGAGATAATTTATTATAGTTAAGTCAAATGAAATGCTTAGTGCCCAGTACTGGTCAGTCGAATACCAGGTTTTAATTCCTTGATCTTGTAATACTCTATTTTGTTAGTCTCTATTCGAAAAGTAACATTCCAAATGGAAGAGTAAATGAACCCTGTCATCATAATTTTTTAAAATAAATTATTCAATAAACGAATAATAACGGTGTCGGTTCCTTACATCTGCTATATGTAAATGATTCAGAAAAATATTCTATTGTCAGGTGAGTGGAAGATTGTCCACCTCAATTTCTACTATTTACAACTACTAAGCATTTTGCTACTCCTCTCTTTTTCCAGCTACTCACGCATGAAAATCAAGTTCTGGTCGCTACTAATCTGGAGTCCATAACGGAGATCTCAGAAAAGGCGGGGGAGGGGTCCTCTCAGGAGTCGGAGACAACATTCCGAAAGAGGATCATTGGTTGATTGCCCCATTAGGTTTTCTTTTTCCTCTGAGTCTAGTGCGTTTCACTGGGCACAAAGGTGTCCCTTTCTTTCTGGCTCCTAAAACAGATGTTCTGATTATTAGGTATTATAACTGCATGTTCAGGGTATCTGCAAGTCCCGAAAGTCCGGAAATAGTACTGATTTTTTAAAGGCGATCCAAAGTACTGAAAAAATGCGGAAAGTCCGTTAGAAGGTCCGGAATTTTTTTCATTTTTTTGTCGTTTCTGTCGCAATTAGAGCGAGAAACTTAAATTTTTGAAATTTTTCGAATTTCGAATTTTGTCATTTGGAGGTACTGAAAAATTACTGACTTTCTCTGTTAGGTACTGAATTTTCTGGGAATGTACTGGAAAAGTGCTGTATAAGTACTGATTTTTGGCTAATCTGTTAGTAGACACCCTGATGTTGTGGTACCAAAGATCAAAATATCATATAAAGTGTAATTTTTGTAATTTCGGATGAAGGCAAGAGTTCAAAGCTAGAGGTCAAAGATTACATGGGATTTAAGAACAAACAAATAGTTTTATGCAAATTTTGTCATTGATGGCCTTGTTGCATTAACCTGCGAAAAATAAAGATTGAAAGAAAAATTATCTGTTTCTAAGTAAAAAAGAACACATTTGTCACACATTATGTCTAGGACCTTGAAAACAGGACATATTGGGATCGACTGAAGAATATCCCGGAAACACAGGGGATCTGTCACGGATTGGTGCAGAAAATCGAGAGGCTTTTCTCTATCCATAGCGAGATTAAATTATTTTGAAGTATGTGGTCCGATTTATCAGACGAAAAAATTCATTCTCCCTCCCCCTTCCGACTTAGGCAGAAAAATCTTGTTTTTCCCCCGGTAAATTGATGAGGAAATGAGAGGATCTTCTTGGTCATTATCAAGGCATATTTCCGTAGAAATCAGGGAAAGTTAGGGAAGTAGTAAGGAGCCAACAAAATTCAGAACAGAAGATTTTATTGTTTAAGACCAAATCTGATCTTCACGCACGGGTAGGAGGCAAAAAATTACTTCACAAATTTTTATAACCAGCATGGATCCCTGAAGGAGGGGCCGAGAGGGCTGGAAAAATAAAGAAAAATTATTCTAAAATTTTCAACATCACGGTCACACCATGTCCTCTTTCAATAGTTACTCAATGTGTAACCTTTCCCTGTCTTTCTCTCGTCTTGCCGATGCGATGCGACGAAAAAAAAGAAGTGCCCCTTCAATATTTTGTGTATGCAACACAGACATCCTTAGAGCACGAATAGTTGTATCCAAATTTTGTCACTGAAGGTCTCGTTGTATCGAACCGCGAACGTGCAACCCGCGAGGTGAAAAAGAAGCTTGAAAGTATAACATACCTTTTCCTGTTTTCAAGTAAATGAAACAAACATTTTGCTCTAAAATATTTGAGGGGCTCGGAGGACAAGGCGCATAAGTGCAGATTTTGCAAAAAATGAGGTATGAATGGTTACAAGTACCGCTAGTCTTAATGCATACTGTGAAAAATTCGCTCCAAAATTCCAACTTTTAAGCATCAAAAGGTCGGTTTGAATTTTCTCTCCGCTGCAAGGATCCTTGTAATTTCAAAACTTCCAACGGGCATTTCTCGAAATAGCAAAAACTGCATTTATGCGCCTTATCCTCCAAACCCCTCATTTGATGTCATCAACAAAACGAAACGGAAAATAAAGTTTGGAGGGCCTCAGAGCGAAAATATTTAAAGCGTAGTGTGCCAAACATAGTGGTGATTTGCCAAACGAGGTCTTCCGGAATTTGCCACATCGCAATTTGCTCATTAGGTATAATACCTAATGAAACATTTAAGGCTGCATTAAAGTTGAAAATATAATTTTCAAGCGCTTCAATATAGTTTTGTCGGAATGTTTGTATACCTGGAGGTGTGTCTTGTATACCTGGAGGTGTGTCTCCTAACTCTCTACAAGAGTTGCCATTTTTTTGTCGTCATTTTTTCGGACCGCCGCACCGCTCTTCGCAATTGCCAAACTGCTCCAAAACTTCTGTTACGAGCATGCGCACTGTAATCGGATACCCAGGAAAAAATTCATCCTCATCGGATGAAAATAACGGAGTAAAAGACCCTCCACTAGTTTGAAGAATCAGCGCTCATGAAAGTACACGCGAAGTCTGATGGCAGAATGTCCACAAGTCCGGCATTTCCGGAAAGTTCGGAAAAAGTAATGACTTTTTAAGGACGTCCGGAAGAACTGAGAAAGTGCGGAAATTCCGTAAGAAGGTCAGGAATTTCAGCGAGAAATTCAAAATTTTGAAATTTTTCTGAATTTCGTCAATTTGAGGTACTGAAACAGTACTGAATTTTTCTGTCGAGGATGTAGGTACTTAATTTCTTGGGATTGTACCAGTAAAGCACTGTAAAAGTACTGATTTTTGGTCAGTCTGTTTCAGTAAACACCTTGGATAGTTAGAGATCCATCTTTCGTTCCTCACAAGAGCATTTATCTTGTAGGTGATTGAAATCACAGTTAATTTCGGCACTTTAGATGTTTCAAATCGATTTAGGAATTCCAAAATCTGTGTTTCAAATTAGTAGCGATCCTATTAAAGTAGTTATATCATTAATGAAATAATTAATGCAGATCGTGAGTCCTCTCCTATGATGATGACGACGCGACGCCAAAAAACAGAAACGCCTTCAAAACCCCAAGGTAGGCAAAACCCACCTCCGGAGCGTTTAAATAGTTGCTCAAGACGTAGGTAGGTAGGTAGGTATAATATGACTCCCCGCAGGGAAAGGCATTTCAGTGGCAAAAAACTTAAGATAGAGATTAGCACTGTTCATAGAAGTGTTTTACGAACATTTTGATCAGAAAACGCCACAAAACTTCCAACTAGACCGTGAATTTGAAGATAGAAAAATTATAGCAACCCTGCAACAACTTATTCATTTCAAGAAAATCGTTGCAAGGCGTTCCTTTGAACTGTTTCGTGAATCGTTGATTGTGAATTTACTGATTTTACGAAAATATAATGACATTTTGAACGTGAAACAAACATTCTCTTCATTAATGATAATGATAAGTTGTCAGGTGATTCAGGGTATATTATGCAGTCCTGGATCATCGAGTTTTCACGTAAAGCGTGAAGTATTATTCAAGGCGCATTCAACAGCCCTGATGGGTCACTGAGTATCTTCGTAAAATTTTCACCATATTATTTTACTATTTCACTTTTTATTATTTATTATTTCAAATTATAATTTCATCAAATTTACCATTATCATTCATGGAGAAGGTGTTTGTTTCACGTTCAATATGTCATTATATTTTCGTAAAATCAGTAAATTCACAATCAACCATTCACGAATTCACAGTTTCTTCCGTGTATTCGACAATCCTGAGTCACTGCGTTCTTTGCAAAGTCCGCAGTATTTTTTATGGTGTATCCCACAGCCCAGGGTCACTGACTTCTCATGCAAAGCGTGCAGTATTTTTCAGGGTGTATTCGGCAGCCCTGGATTCGAGCAGGCAACAGCGCCCGGCGAGATGTTCAAGAGGGTTGCGCGCGGCAAGGGAGGCCCGGAGGGAGGAGGGGGGGCGAGGGTGCACAAAGTTGGAAGTTCGCGCAGCCTATCTCTAGTTGTCGCCCGTAGCTTGTACCATCGCCACCGCCTTACACCCGCGCGATACCGCCCGCCGTACTTGAGTTTCCGCCTTTTGACGAGCCCTCTTCCAACGGTAACCGACTCGCTCATTATCCGATCCAACCACGGGGTTGTCGGGAAAGAGATTTTGTTGTGTGTAACGCCTCCCTGAAGCTCTGTTCGGATTCAAAAGCTCGGGGAATTGTGCGGTGAATCCGGTGTTTGTAAGGTTACCGTCGGAACCCTTCAGCCCTAGCGGAGCCTTTGGTTAAGGCTCCGACCTAGGATCGGAAAGGGTATATTTCATCCCCACACGATGAATATCCGTGAAGATCATTTAGTTTTACCATTAGCTGAAGATGGAAGTTTATGCTAGTTCGTCGTCCCTTACAGTTCAACCTAGATTTGATGTAAAAAACCAATGGTTGAAATTTACATTTAAATCAGGTTTCAATGCTGAGGGTGGCACAGTTTAGCGAAAACGCCCGAATAGATTTGCGTTTTATGGTGGGAAAATTTTGCTAGTGACAAGTATTTGTTAGGTTACCATCGGGACGATCACTCTCAACCATAGCTGAGCCTTTAGTTAAGGCTCTCCAACTCACCATTGGAAACACTAATTTCCCCGGTTTATTTTTACACGATGAATATGCGTGGAAATTACGTGTTGTACTGTTACCCAGAGTTGAGAGTTCGCATCTTAGTTTGTTGTTTCGTTGAGATTCTTTGAAGTTCTAGGTTTGGAATGGAAAGCCGTCCTACTCAAATTGAAATCAGGTTCCAGTGTAGTACAGGCCGGTGAAGTTACGCAGTAATTTTATTTCTTTTTAGTGACGAAAATTGTACGATTCACTGGTGTTTGTAAGGTGGTTTTATCTAAGATTCTCCTTATGAAGAACATTAACTTCTCTTCCTCTCATCTTTATCACACGATAAATCAATGATCGATATCTTTAAATTACGATGAAAAAGTCATCAAAAATCATATGATCATAAAAATCACTTGGTTGTACTAGTATCTGGAGTTGGGAGTTCAACCTAGGTTGTTGTTCTTTAGAGTTCAACCTTCGAGTTCAACCTTGGTTGAAATTTAAAAGCTAATGATCGAGCTTGCTCCAGTGCTCTGCCGTGCTAAAAACGAACGCCGTATGATCATTCGAGAGTTGCCAAATTTCCCTTGATAAAACATGTATTTTTGACAACATGCATGCATATTTTCCCTTGAAATTGTCAGATATTTTAGATTCAATTGCGTACAAAATTGTCTGAAAATTTTGGAAACTTATATTTTGAAATTTTTTCAGTAAATGTGGTTTTTATCGGAGGGAACTTGGCAACGTCTAAAGGCTCATACGGCGTTCTTCCTTGTCACGGCAGTGCTGCCATTTGTGGCACAGTGGAACTATTCAGGGTGAACGTTCGACTAATCTGCCCTTAAGGACAATTTTGCGAGTGGTAAGAGTTCGTTGGGTTATCATTGGACCCTCACAACCATAACGATGTTTTTGGTATTGACCGCAAGACTATGATCGGAAACAACATTTGAGGGGCTTGGAGGACAAGGCGCATAAGTGCAGTATTTGCTATTTCGAGAAACGGGTATTTAAAGTTTCAAAATTACATGGAGCCTTACGGCAGAAAGAAAGTTTTAAGAGACTTTTTGATGCTTACAAATTGGAATTTGAGAGCGAATTTTTCACAAAATATGCATGTAGCTCCTCCGCTTGCATAGTTGTTTTTTACTTTAATAAAATAATAATAAAAAAAACACCAAAGGCCTCGAAAAGTCGCAATCGAGAAACGTGTTTTTTGACGCGCACATTTGTCGTGCGACTACCATCCAACACTTTAATCGATTCAACCTGTTCGTCGTAAATTCCAGTTTAAGGGCCAATTAAAGCCGTAACCGCAAACGGAAATTATAAACCTCTCTGATCTCCCACGCTTTACATGACTCTGAGGAGGCGTAGACATTGATTTCAGCCATGCCGCTGTTCTCTGCAATGGTTAATGAAGTTGAAATTCTGATTCGGAGAATTCAAGCTCATGAAGTATCAATTTAGAATGCAGTCGAACGAACCCATTTCGATTTAGCGATGACAATCACTCGAATATTTCATTTAAATGAAGGCAGAGCACAGGAATCGGTTAAGTGGTTATGAAATTACAGTAATACAGTTCCAGTTTGCTCATTTCCGCTAGCGCAAAGGCTTTTGGTTTAGGTTCTGATTTCATTTGGAGGCCTCACCTGTCGTATCTTCTTTATCTTTAGGCGCAATAAACACGAATGTGGCGCATGTTAGTGGTTAAGTTTCGATGTTTTCCATGGATAACCGTGTTCTCATACAGACCTCTTTTTATGGGTGGTTTCACGATAACTGGAATAATTTTGTCGCCGTAACGGACAAAACATTTTTTGGTCATATTTTTAGTAGTAAAGATAATCACTCGAATTTTTTGGCATTCATCTACACAGGGTTACGTGTCATAACGCTTTTCAAAGATTTATCACTCTACTTTTCACTCTACTTATTATAAAAATGGCCGAACATGTGCTGTCTGACTTTTTACCGCGTAACAGACAGCACATTTTCGGAATTCATACATACCTAATATTGATTGAGAAGTAGAGCAATAAATCACTAGAAAGCGTTATAATACGTAACTCTTTGAAGATTAATGCGAAAAAATTCGAGTGATTATCATTTCTATTAAAAATATGACCGAAAAATGTGCTGTCTGTTACGGCGACAAAACTATTCCAGTTATCGTGAAACCACCCTTATATTTGAAAATACTAAAATATTTGCGGAACCGTCACATTGCTGAAATAGAGATAGGTGTTTATAGGCGTCGACCTCCGTTGGAAATTAGGAAAATTTTTTGGGCAGCAGATTTTTTTTCACCATCCATAATGTTGAAAAAAATGTGAAGCGATTTTGAATGTCGATTCATCGACCACCACAATTCATTTCGCGTTCTCAGATGTGAAATTAACTGAAGGGTTTTGAAATCAATATAAATATGTGTCCGGCTCCAGTAAAAAGAATCTAATCCCTTGGGAGGGTATTTTTCAGTGAGAAACTGTTACAATCAGAACGGTCAAAGCCGGAAAAATTGGTTTTCTAAACGAGTAAAGCTCTTCAAAACAAGTACGCGCTGCATGGATTCATTTTTATAGCACTATAAAGTGCCCCGCTTATTGCCTTTTGGCAAGCAGGCAGCATTTAGAGAAAGGACATTCTTGAACAGTGATAGCGCTGCGATTTTTAGAAGTTTTATAGTCATCGATTTATTCGGATAGCTTTAAGTAGATCTAGTCTAATAGCGTTTCATGTTGACTAAAATCCTCTCCAATTTTAGTTTTGCAAGCATAAAGCCAATCATTTTCCGGCCTTGAAATCCTGCTGAAGTGTTTGCCATAGTCCAGAGGAAATTCGTAATAAGTCTTGACCCATAATGTTCCCCAAGTTTCCCTTAAGAAAGTGCACATGCGCGCAAATCGGACCCCCTTTTTTTTCAATTAACAACTTAAATTTCTGGCTCATTTGTAGAAACACTTACGTGTATAGGGAAACTGGTGGTACATAAGTTGTTTCTAAACCTTGCCAGAAATTGTAGTTCCTAATATTGCAAAATGTAATGTAAATGATACCGGAATTTTGAATGTGTTCAAACAGCAAGTTCCTGGCGATATCGACGAGAATCCATTGACACATCGATTTTATCAATAAATTTCTAGGTGTATCGATCGATTTAGATTTTTCCCCTTATAAATATCACGTCCTTGTGCTGCTAGGGGTTGTTTTTGAATGTTTCGATACCAGAATATTTGAATGTGTTCCAACAGTATAAGTTCCTGGCGAGGTCGAAGAGAATCCATGGATACATTGATTTTATCCATAAATTTGTCGATGTAGGTATCGATAGATTTCGATTTTTTTCTTTGTAAATTTTACGTCCTTGTGCTATACTAGGGTTTGTTTTTGAATGTTTCGATACCGGAATATTTGAACGTGTTCCAACGGCAAGTGCCCGACAAGGTCGACGGGAATCCATTGATACATCGATTTGATCAATAAATTTTCCAATGTATCGATCGATTTCGACTTCCCCTTTGTATATATTACGTCCTTGTGCTACTCGGGTTAGTTTTTGAATTTTTCGATAGCGGAATGCAAGTTCCCGACGAGGTCAATGAAAATCCATTGATACATCGATTTTATCAATAAATTTTTCAATGTATCGATCGATTTAGATTTTTTCCTTTGTAAATACGTCCCTGTGCTACAAGGGTTTTTCGCAGAGGCAGATCCAGCAATTCGGTAACACCGGATTTCCTCCATTTAAACCTATGCTAAATAATCGATTCTCGTCGGAGCACATAGCCCCTCCAAAAATCGATACATTTCCATAGGTTCAAACGGAGAAAAGACAATGTTGCCAATTTTCTGGATCCGCCGATGGTTTTTCGAACGTTTCGATAGCGGAATTTTTGTATGTGTTCCAACAGCAAGTTCCGGGCACGAGCGACGAGGAATCCGGAGTGACGGTTATGTGCAGTGATTGACTGGGAATCGGAGAATCGATATTCGATATCGACGATCAGTGCGGGGGTGGATTTCGGGGGAGCCGCGATCGACCCGCGACCGGGATGGGCTTGAGCCGCGGGGCGAGTCAGCTGTCGGACTGGCCTAGTTCCGGGCTCTGCGCGAGGGGGTGAGCGCTCCGGTGGGAACAGCCCAGCCCGCCACCGCTACTCGCCACCAGCCGCGCCACCGCGCCTCCAATCAATAGACACACGCCGCCGTCCGCCGACTGACACACGACTATGCAGCCGCCGCCACGGAAAGTAAGATCACCTCTACCCACATCTGCATGCAATTTGCGTTTCGTACCTTGAAGGCGTTGCTCGAAAAATAAGGATCGAGAGGGGGATCAGCGCCTGCGAGAAGCAGAGTGTGGTGCTGTGAGCGAGATGCAGTTTTGCAGCGGAATAATTGTTTGAGATGTGTAATGGGAAACCTAACCTCACTTCCTATTCGTATTGAAATTTATAAGCCCTGGATAGACGATCAAATTCCGAATCAATTCCGATCAAAGTAGACATGCTGATGACTGATGGTCACCATGTACCATCAAATTTTGACGGGCCGCTCTAATTTGTTCAAAGTAAGATCAGTTATTTCGATCAGTTGTGCCACCATTCATCGATTCCTGCCTCAGGAAACATTTCTGCCAAGTTTTCATTTGAAAATTAAGCAAATTAATGAGTGTAAGGCTGATGACTCCCGACACTTTGATGGTAATTGGTTCGGGAATTTGATCGTCTATCCAGGGCTTTAAAGCGCACAGTGCAGGCAGGAGTGCATCCTCCATCAGGGAGGCGAAATTTCATGAAAAATAAGATCTTGAAATTTCACGTGAAATATTTCATGAAATTTTAGATATTTATGAAAAATATTAGAAAATACAGGTTCCTTTTCACGTTTCGTATACCTTGAAGGCGTTGCTCGAAAAATTAGGATCGAGAGGGGGATCAGCGCCTGCGAGAGCAGAGTGGGGTAGTTGGGGTACTGTAAGCGGGATGCAGTCTTGCAGAGAAATAATTGTTTGAGATGTGTAATGGGAAACCTAACCTCACTTCCTATTCGTAATGAAATTTTTAAAGCGCACGGTGCAAGCAGGAGTGCATCCTTGATCAGGGTGGCAAATTTTCGTGAAAAATAAAATCTTGAATTTTCAAAAATTTGTTTGAGATGTGTAATGGGAAACCTAACTTCACTTTCACCTCTACCCACATCTGCATGCAATTTGCGTTTTGTACCTTGAAGGCGTTGCTCGAAAAACAAGGATCGGGAGAGGGAACATTCAGCGCTTATGGTGCTGTAAGTGGGATGCAGTCTTGCAGCGAAATAATTGTTTGAGATGTGTAATGGGAAACCTAACCTCACCTCCTATTCGTATTGAAATTTTTAAAGCGCACGGTGCAAGCAGGGGTGCACCCTGGTAAAAATTGGCGATAGGAGCTGTGTTTCAAAATACCATAGGAATTCTTATAGCCGGCTAAAGAAGGCTTCAGAAAATCATATAGCTGGCTGTAGAATGCGAAGAAAATCATACGGCCTGGCTATACGAAGCGATAAAAAATTATGCAGCCGGGCTATAGTTCCTATCGCCCGGCTTTACACTTTATCGCCTGCATGGCTGTTGCTTTTCCGCCATCGATTATAAAAGGCTATAAGAAATTGTGTAGAAATTCGTGTGCTTTGGAAATCATTAAGTTTGATACGGAACCACCTTAATATTTACAGAACACACACATATTTGTTTTCATCAATTAAAATGAGAGTAATCCATACAGGATGTGCAAAAATTTCAAAATCATGAGTTGAATAACGCTGACTCCGCCAGATTAAATATTAGAGCCTAACACAAAGCGGAGCGGCGACGCACTGGCGCCTACAAACCTAACACGGATACTTCACGCATTGCGCAACGCGTGAAGTATCCCTGTTAGGTTTGTAGGCGCCAATGCGCGTTTCGCGCTGGCTGCCCGCCTGCCGCGTCGCAGCGTGCCACGGCGCTTGAGGTAACTATTTTACACCAGAGGTATTGCACAATATCATACGAAACTGAAGGCGCTCTAATATATTAGGAATGGCAGGCATCCATCAAAAGTACGGAGCTTTCCTCGCAAAATAAATCAAGATACTACGGCTCAAAAAGAGAGCAGTAGTCCAAAAACTCACTAAGTCCTAGCATCCGTAATTAGTATCATTTAGCATACCTTTTATCGCCTGGCTGTTGTTTAATCGCCATCGGCTATAAAAGGCTATAAGAAAATGTGTAGCCGGCTATAGAAGCTATTGGAAATCTTACAGCCAGCTGTAGGTCTATGGTATTTTGGGACACAGATTCTACTGCCAATTTTTCCCAGGGCATCCTTGATCAAGGTGGCAAAATTTCATGAAAAATAAAATCTTGAAATTCTACGGGAAATATTCATGAAATTTTAGAAATTCATGACAGCTATTGGAAAATACAGATTTCTTTTCATGTTTCGTATATCGTATACCTTGAAGGCGTTGCTCGAAAAAGAAGGATCGAGAGGGGGATCAGCGCCCGCGAGGGGCAGAGTGTGGTGCTGTGAGCGAGATGCAGTCTTGCAGCGAAATAATTGTTTGAGATGTGTAATGGGAAGCCTAACCTCACTTCCTATTCGTATTGAAATTTTTAAAGCGCACGGTGCAAGCAGGAGTGCATTCTTGATCAGGGCGGCACAATTTCATGAAACATAAAATCTTGAAATTTCAAAAAATTGTTTGAGATGTGTAATGGGAAACTTAACCTCACTTTCTATTCGTGTTGAAATTTTAAAAGCGCACAGTGCAAGCAGGAGTGCATCCTTGATCAGGGCGGCAAATTTTCGTGAAAAATAAAATCTTGAAATTCTACGGGAAATATTTTATGAGATTTTAGAAATTCATGAAAGATATTGAAAAATACAGATTCCTTTTCATGTTTCGCAAAATTTCATGAAAAATAAAATCTTGAAATTCTACGGTAAATATTTTATGAGATTTTAGAAATTCATGAAAGATATTGAAAAATACAGATTCCTTTTCATGTTTCGCAAAATTGTGACTTTCTTCTATTTTTGTGTGTTTGAGTGCGGGTTGCATACTCTAGCCCCTGAAAAATATAAAATATCTCAGTCTCGTGAAATTTCATGAAATATTTTCACCGATATACCAATCTTCCATTTCTTTCTCACGTTTATACCACCCTGTCCTTGATGTAAAATTTTTCCTATGGGATACGATCCAGTCGCTCTATTCGACGGTGGAACTGTCATACCACGTATCTTGGTTTGCGAAGTTGTAGACTTACTATCGTACTTTCAGTTTTACATGGAAAACCACTCAACGTCATTTTTGAAATCTTCCATAATTTTTCATCCCCTTGCGAAGAAAACTCTGTGAAAACTTCAAGAAATGAAATTGATTTGTTCTCCATCGAAAAAATAAAATGGGAGCAGAGATTTTTAAACACCTCAAACGAGGTAGCGAGTCTGGTAGTTTCAGCGTCGTCTTGTGTTTTAATGATGACATAAAAAAGAATCCCTGGTACAGTGGATCAGCATGCGTATGAATCGATCGATTCCCCTCATAAGTATATTATCAGCATGACATCCCACGATATCAGTTTGTATGATATCAGCCCGATATCAGCATCAGGGCCGGGTTTACCTACTTGCCGCCCTCGGGCCGCCTGTACTTTGCCGCCCTCGGGCCGCCTGTACTTTGCCGCCCCCTTCTCACTCGTTGTGAAACATCAATAAATACCACCAAGTGAACGTGCCGGAGGGGGAGGGCTGCATAAGACGCGTTTACTCGTGTTGAATACATTTCGTGCGAAAGCCCCGTCAGCACCACCAGCAAAATTTCACGGAACTTTGCGTGAAAGTTCGGTTCCGTAAACCTATCTCTGTGTGGACACAGCCTTCCATTTGTAAGAAATGAAAGAGAGAATTATGAAAAAACAAACATAAATGTGGTTTAATAATTTCAACTTCCGCCGCCGCGCCACGTGGACCGCTTCGTGTTTGGCGCAATGCGTGAAGTATTCCTACAGTCTTGGAGGCGCTATGCGTTTCACGCCGACCGCTGCTGAACGCACTGTGTTTGACGCAATGCGTGAAGTATTCATGCAGTCTTGTAGGCGCTAATATGTGTTACATGCCGACCGCGGCATCGAAGGTTTGGTTCACAGCCGTTGCGAAAATTCAGGAAAAACGATTTAATTTCCGAAATGGAGGGGGGGGGGTAGCTCCAACTGAGGGCACTTTGGGAAAAACTTCATAACTAATAGTACGGTACCGTAATAGTACCGTAGTGGACTACCGTGGAACGGACAGTAACCGAACACAAGGAATAAACTAAATAAAGGTTTATTCACAAAAGAACTACAATCGCAAATATCGGGAAACCGAGGTAAGAACTACGCATTTACAGTGGCCTTGTGATAAGGTCAGTGTCAAGACCAAGAAAGGAAAATGATCATTTTATAACTTATACAACAAAGAAAAATCTTATTTTCACCCATACTGCAGTGCGGGGTCTAAACATATAATATTTGATTTCATACTAAAACTTCCATTGCGCTTTGAAAGAACATTTCGTCTGACTCGTGAAGGCACGTTGCTCGCTTGTCTCGGCGGGCGAAAAAACGCCTTCAAATAAGTGAGTATGCAACACGGGCGTCCATAAAGCACGAATAGTTGCATGCTCAGCCGTGTCGCGTTGCTATTGTAGTGCTGGGATCGAGATAAGTTGCCGAATCGTTCTGCCGTGCTAAGGAAGAAGGCCGTATGAAAATTCGAGAGTTACCAGATTCCCTTCGATAAAATGTTCATTTTTTAGGAAAGTTATGAATATTTTTCCTTGAAATTTTCAGGAACTTCAGGTCAAATCGCAAGCAAAAGTATCTGAAAAATTGGAAAGAAAATACTCATAAGTTTACGAGGAAATTCGTGTTTTATCAAAGAAATTTAGCAACGACTGAAGGTTCATACGGCGTTCTTCCTTAGCACAGCAGCATAGAACACGCTCCTGCAGCTTGACCGCACTGAGAAAAACGTGAAGTTGATTTAACATTCTGGATGTATAAAAAGTGTACGAGAACTTACAAAATGCTGAATTAACTTCCTCAGCAGTAATTTTAGCAATGTCAAGATGTAAAACAACTGCCGTAGCGTGTAATTTAGCTTTTTGTGAGTTCTCGCACACTTTTTTTACATCCAGAATGTTGTATCAACTTCACTTTTTTTTCGGTGCGTTTAACTCTGGA